ATACAAAATATCATTGATCTATCACAAGTAGATCCTATGAAATGAACTTAGGCAGAAAAACTTAACATTAAAAATTGCTAATTCATTCAAAGTCACTGGACCATGACCTAGGGTGCAGGGCCTCAAAATAGTCGTCAAACTGATATCTACAGATAGGAATGCAACTTCATACAAAATATCATTGATGTATCACAAGTAGTTCTTATCAAACAAACTTAAGCAGAAAACTTGACATTGAAAATTGCTAATAAATTCAAAGTCACTGGACCATGACCTTGGTGCAGGGCCCCCCAAATAGTCTTCAAACTGATATGTATTGATAGTAATGCAACTTTATATTAAATATCAATGATCTATCACAAGTAGTTCCTATCCTGTCGCCGGAAAAGCAGTACTTATGTCTCGCTTTCCGCGAATTCGTCGCAGGCGAGACAAAAATCAGTCAATAACAAAACTTTCTTTTTTACTTCTTCATATTACACACTTTTGTTTCTAATCTATATTTTCTAAAAAATCTTTTGTTTACTTTGTACTATAATAAAATCAATTTGTCCTTCTGCCATCATGACAAAAAGATCTTAATATTATTATCTGAAAAACAGAGTGAATACATACTTAACAAAGTCATACAAACTTTCCCCGCTGTTTTCTTTAATAATAAACTCAACTTTACTGAACAATGTTCATTGTGAAGTGGTAAACATTCTTGCATAATTATTGAACTCTTGACTAACAGATGAGTAAAAAATCATAAAGTCCAAGACTAATGCAGATGTTAATATCGTCGATATGGACTCTATATTGATGATATCCTACACTGATGAGATAACCAGATGTCAATTTTGATGACGACACCAATAACAAAACCTGATGTCGATATCGATGTTGACTTAAGATAATTAAATAAAAAAACAAGAAAAATCAAGCTGATCAAATTCAGCCCGAATATAAAGATTCATGTAGGGTAAGATGACGGCTGAATTGTATCAATTAGTTTTTTTCATTGTATTTATACAAGACAAACAAGTGGTCACCTCTACAAATTACTATTTTCTTTAAAAAACACATTTCATTTAGATGTATAACATTGACATGGTAATTTAGGTGATAACTAGGAGAAAAATGGTTACATACAAAGACAGTAGAAAAACAGATACAGTACGAACATGTAGAACTATTTAAAATGTTAATTTATGGGATGTGAACTGGTTGATATTCCAAACAGGATAAACATGGTTTATTTATTGGTTGAAATTAGATTTTTAACTTTATTTGAAATTTTCTGAGTACCCTTAAATTGTTTTAAATCAGAACTTTGTGATTTTGTCAATTTTTTGTTGTGCTTCGTGCAACTGATAAGACAAGCCCTTTCAAACTGATTTTTACATTTTGTATTTATGTATTGATGCTACATCACCGTCATATATCAAAGGGAAGGGGTTAGCATTCATAAACATGTTTAGCCCGCCACATCTTCAATGTGACTGACCCTACTTTGGAGCTCTTTGATTCAGTGGTTGTCGTTCGTTGCTGCCTGCAATATTTACTTTCGTTTATCATTCATATATAAATGAGAATGTTTTGTTTTCCCATTTGAAATATTTAACATTTTGTCAAGCCCGAATTAGTGTTACTCTTTGTTGAAGACTGTACTGTAACCTTTAGTTATTTACATCCTCATCCTTTTTTATGTCTGGTGGTTTGTTGTCTCGTGGAATTAGGAGAAACAAATTATGAAGAAAATTTTTAAATGTTGATATGGAATTGATATTGTCGATATCAACATCTTGAACAGATGAACCAGGAGAAACTAAATTGTCTATGTAGATAACTCTAGCAGATAGTTATTTGGGACATAATTTGTCGATATCGACTCCATGTCGTCGATATCGGCACTTATATCAGATGAATCTAGTGTAAACTCATTGATATCCCAAATCAGTTTAGGAAACTTTTAAAAGTCTCATTGAAAATCTTACAACAAATCCTTATTATTACATTGCTAAATTGCTAAATTTAATGAAGAAAATAAATTAAACTATGAAGTGAATAGAGAACATCAGGAAAAAAAATTTTAAATGTCAATATGAAATCAATATCGTCGATATCGACAGTTTAAACAGATAAACCAGGACATGCTAAATTGTCTTTATGGACAACTGTATCACATAAACATTTGGAACATAAACATATAAGTTAAGAGAAGACTGGCGATATCGAATCGATATTGCCGATATCAACACCTGTATATAAAGTAAACAAAATCAGAGTGAATCATTGTGAGGAAAATGTCAATTGTTGATAACGATTTGATATCGTCGATATAAATAACATCAACAGCTGATAAGACAAAGAGAAGATTGTCGATGAAACCTTAAAAGAGAAAGTAACAGAAATTCAGGCAGTGTTGTGCTATGAATACCCGCATGCCGTACTTCAAAATATAGAGAAACAGGAAGAAGGTGTCCGACAGATCAGAAAGGAGCACACACGTTACAACTCATTTATACTTTTAGTCAGAGCTCTGACATAAACAACTCAGAATCTTCCAAGACTTGTAAATGGTGACAAAAACATTTTTTGGACAACTGACAGATGGACGGACAAGATGTTTGCAAAATAGACCACATTTCTAGAGTGGTTGTTTAATATCATATACTCTAGAAGACTTAGAATACCTAAACAAGCAATAAATTTATAAAAACACGAGGCTGTCAAAGTGACTGCAAGCCATGTTTTCTATAACATTTTTTAGTGTCATTGCTAAAACAGATTTCTGTTGGATTTCCCTGTTAACAAAAGACATCGGGAAGGGTAGAAAGGAAAAAAAAATGTTTAACAATGTTAATTTATTAAATTAATAAAGATACACAACAATAAAGTTGCTTAACATTTGTAAATGATGACTTGAAAATACTATATAACTCTAAAATTAACTGTGATTTACCTACTGGTTCCCAGACATGATTTCTATGTTTTATCTCAAAGAGATATAACTTGGGAATGTTACCAGTTTAAAACACATAGAAGTGGTGGGTGATGCATGCATATCAGCAGACAGTTATCTTGTTGAAGCACCAGGTCAAGTTCCTTTTGTAGTTTCTGCGATTCCCACACTTTTTTTTTTTTTACCTTGATTTGTGTCGATTTACAATATTGAACATCGGTTAACTGCTGCCACTTAATTTACTCTACATTAGTCTTTACAAACACTAAAATGATACATGTTTATAATCTTCTCCTTATGCAGACAGTAAAGAGGAAAATTGTTGTACTAACGTTCCGTCTGATTAATCATGTGATTAATCACATGTATACATATACACTGTACCTGTATTAAATGAGCAGGAAATATTCCCCTGTAGTAATCCCTCTCTACCCAACCCTGATACAGTCAAGTTTCTTAACGATATTTATATATATCGTTTCTTTTCTAGTTTTTTTCATTTTATATCCAGAGCTTGTTTTTAATTAGGTTTTTATGATATTTGTGCATGCATTTGTTCATGTAGGAACTATATATTGTTTGATTATTGTACTGATGCACATAATACAAGATTAGTTAATTTCATGTTTCCCTATTATAAGATTATTTTCATATATCGTATCTCAAAGCATACTGTCAAAAGTATTAATCCAGAGACGGTCTTTCGAGCATAAGGTTTTGGACACAGGTTTCCAACATTTTGTTGTTTTTGCCTTGCCGGCAGGATCGACAAAGGAGAATTTTTTATAACTAACTATGTTATTATAACTTGCACTACAGTTATTTATTTGTGATGGTTATATTACACATGCTATCATTTTTTTTTGTTTCTTTATTCGTAATGAATCCGGTGTCCTCTAGTTTAGGTTGGGGAGACAACAAATTTATATTTGTTTATTATATTAATTATCATATTGAGAATAAAGGGATAAATGGCAATGAGATAACATTAGTAAAGTGTGTACTTAACTTAAATGACTATACTGGTATATTATTATTATATAAAGATCTGGTCATCATGACAACAAAGAACAATAAATGAAGTGTACCACTTTTATTCAGTTTTTCCTGAAGCCAAATTTTAAGACACGACAAGATTCATCTGAAGTCACAGATGGTAACAAAAATAACAGTTCATATTTTTTTTTAAATAAGATAAAAGTAGTAAAAGAGGGACGAAAGATACCAGAGGGACAGTCAAACTCATAGATCGAAAACAAACTGACAATGCCATGGCCAAAAATAAAAAGACAAACAGACAAATATTAGTACAGATGACACAACATAGAAAACTAAAGACTAGGTAACACGAACCCCACCAAAAACTGGTGGTGATCTCAGGTGCTCCGGAAGGGTAAGCAGATCCTGCTCCACATGTGGCACCCGTCGTGTTGCCAATGTTATTACAAATCCGGTAAATAGTCTAATTCGGTAGGTCACATTCTTGAAAAGGGAAGGGTATTGTAGTTACGACATTAGGAACATATCAGATATCATCTGTGAAACGGTTATTCCATAATGGTCAACCAACTCGTGATGGTGTCCGTAAAATTTACGAAGGGATGATTTCAACTTCACCATTTGGAACTCTTGGTTTAATAGCTTCCTTGTGAGCAGCAATCCTCTATCAAGGGAATCATGATAGGAAATACAAGCCCGGGAATATCGTACCAATTGGGAGATATATACTCCGTATGCAGGCGCTGCTGGAATGTTGCTACATAGTAAAAGACACAACACTTTAAATTTTATTGATTTATTTTTAACGCCACTTTCAGCACTATTGTGCTTTTTCTTAGCGGTCAGTTTTTATTGGTGGTGGAAGCCGAAGTGCCAAGAGAGAACCACCAACCTTCCGTAGGAAAACTGGCAATCCTGGTCAATTAAATTTGAGTCCAACATACCTGCCACATGCCTGATTCAAACTCACAACATTAGTGTTGAAGGGCTAGTGATACAGTAGTTCGACTACTTACACCACTCGGCCACCAAAGCCACTTAAACACTTATAGGATTGCAGGTATTATCAATTTATTACATCCACATGTTTTGGAATTCTCAACCCAGTCATCAGAGTAAATACAAGGTATTTTTTTCCTTGATGAATTCAGGTACCTCAATTTGAATACACAATTAATAATGTTTCTATGGATTTTGTACATTGAAATAAATGTTTAAATTTATTTTTTTAATCAACCAATAAGTATTGAAGTAAAAATCAGAATCAAAATCAAACTCATAAAATAATGTTCTATTAATTTAAAAGTTTATAAACATTTATTTCTAAGTACACAATCTGTAGAAACCATTATTTACTGTGAGGTCAACTTGAAGTATATGAATTTGTACTTCTACAAAAAATTCTCTAACCTTGAAGTATTTATTTAGTACATCAAGGAAACAGATCTCTATAGAAACCATTCTTATCTGACATCAACTGGAAGTCTCCTAATTAACTACATCAAGGAAAAAAATATCTATAAAAACCAATAACTGCAAGGGTAACATGGAATATCCAAATTTAGTATATCAAGGAAAAAAATATCTTTGTACTTATCTTGATTACAGCATTCAGAATGTCAAAACATTTTCAAGTAATAAATACATAATATAATGCAATTGTTTGAAGCAATGTGTCCTCACTTCTTTTTCATTTTGAAGTTAAACTACAAAAAAAACATGTTTATACCTGATATTAGAAGCAGGCTCATTTTAGAATTTAATCAACTTTTAAAAGTGAAATTATTTAGAACTTGCAAAATTTATGAAAAATAAAATTATCAAACAGCAATTTGTATGCAACTGTTATTGATTTTAAACACAGGCATGTTGCCATGTACAATACATATAAACAAAACTACCTCCAAAGATTGCTAAAATCATAACACTAATATAATATCTTTCTCATTTGTTTACCTAAGGCCACGCCACATTAATACCTTGTTCGTCTGATTTCCCAGGACTTGTGAAAGGTCAACCAGAAAAAAGTACTTTTTTAAAAATCCGACGTCCAGTACAGAGCCTCGCGCGTCCATCTCTAAATTTATGAAACAAAAATTTTGATCAGTTGTGCGTTTGAAAGTAACGCCATGCAGACATAGAAATTGACATTAAAAACAATCTAGATCTAACATTCACAACGTTGTTGTTACAATTTCATCTGCCAAATTTAGTATGATAATCATTCCTAACGTAAGACATGAGTGGAATATTTGTAATTACAGTGGTAATGCAGGCAAACACATCAGTAGAATATGATTTGGGCAATTCTTTTACCAATTTGTTGGAAGTGCTCTGTGCAAAAACATCAAACTACAAATTATTACGACCCAGGAAATATGACAGCTATTTAATGACCAGCTGCAACTACCATCCCTAAAAGATCATCGAACCCAAAACAGATTTATCCTCTCCTACAAAGGCATACACGGTCAAGCCAACTTATCATCTGTTAATGATGATCTGATCAACTCAACTGAGAAAAAAACATCTAGGACAACCAAAAACATCCATTTATATGGCCAACATTTCCTGAGACTGCAAACAAAAACAGACACATTAAAATTCTGCTTCATACAAATACAATTAAAGATTGGAACCTATTACCACTTGATATTTGCACCAAGATTCAAACAGCAGAAGAACCAGCTAAAACTTTCAGTGATATTGTAAGGGGTGTCCCACTAAGTGAATTACTTGACTCACGCTTGGTGTAGTAATATCCTTGAATGATTCACTGTATACCTATCAAGATCAAACAACAAAGCAACGATGTCACCGTATTGAAAGATTTAAATTGTGACAATATAACATGCATAAGAATAAAAGAGAATCCCAAAACTGAGGGTACATGAATTTGAAATGGCACCTCAATTGAAACTATTATATTGATTATTTTTTTTGGAATAAAGGTTTTTACTTAAAAATTTAGAAAATTTATTTATATTTGCTAGTATCATTACAAAGTTATATTAAAAGAAAGAGGAAAGTGTCAAAGAGACAACAACCTGAACAAAGAGCAGAAAACAGCCCAAGGCCACCAATGGGTCTTCAACACTAAGGGAAAATCCAGCACCCAGAGGCTGGCTTCAGCTGACCCCTAAACAATTATGTATACTAGAAAAAAGTAAAATCACAAAAATACTGAACTCCGAGGAAAATTCAAAAAGGAAAGTCCCTAATCAAATGCTCAAACACATCAAACGAATGGATAATAACTGTCATATTCCTGACTTGGTACAGGCATTTTCTTATGTAGAAAATGGTGGATTGAACCTGATTTTATAGCTAGTTAAAAGCATAGAATTTGACAAGAATGTTTATGTGGTAATTGAATTTAACACATTATAATCCGCCTTTACATTTCACAAAATCTTCTAAAAATAAGAATTTGTATGATTGTCAATGAGACAACCTTCAACCAGAGACCAAATTTGTTGAGTTCATGGTATGGCCTTCAACACAGAGCAATGTCCACATGCATATATTCATGTATATATACCTGGAACTTGGAAATGTTTTGAAAAGATTAAACTGGATGTTAGAGAACAAATAGAGAACTAAAGTAGGTTAATATAAGAACTAGGATATGAGATATATAAAATATCAAGCACCGAAACTATGTAAATTTCTAATCGCCCACTTGCTTAAAATTCTTTTCATATAATTTTTTTCAAAAATATATCAAAAATAATATTGCTCGCTAGTAAAAAATTCTTTAGCCTGCCAAAAATCAAATTTCAGAAAAAAACAAATGAAAAGATTTCGCTCTCTCACTACCCTTTTTCAAAGGAAAGAGTCTGAAGAACTAGAAATTAATTTAGTGTGGCCTAAGCAACTAATCCCAGTAAGACTACAAAAATATCAAGACAGTCAAAAACAAGCTGAACTCAAAGATTGAACTCTACCATTATGCTTATGATTTCAAATGGTTGGAATGTCAGATGAATGTTCCCTTCTATCCCTGCCACTGATTTATTTGTTTCTTCTATAATTTCTTCCAAAGCATTACATCTGAAAGTAAGAAAAGGTCTTCAGATACTAAGTAAAAATAAACAAAAGTGATTTTTGGTGAGCCTGCAACATTTATGTTGTGAAAGCAAAACAAATTGATCCTAGATTTCGGCGTTGGTGTGAACATTTGGGTTTAGTCTGTGGTTAAAGTTTTTTAAGGCATAAATATTTTTGTCAAACCTTCATGGAATTTTATGAAATTTGGACAGCAGCATTTTTATGACCAAAAGACAGTATCAAGATCAAAATTTTGAAAATATTAATTTTCTTTTTTCCGTATTTTTCTGATAAATGGACTTTTTTTATAATTTAACATTTAGATACAGTCTAAGGTGAAAGTGTTTCAGTCATCAATAACTTTGTCAACCCTTTATGGAATTTCACTAAAGTTGAATAGAAGCTTTTTTATTATCAAAAGCCAGTATCTAGAGCAAAATAATGAAAATATTTGTTTTCATTTTTCCGTATTTTACTGATAAAAGGACTTAGTATTTTGCAGGTAACAAGTAGATACATGTACAGTCTGGGGTTTAAGTTTGTTATACATCAATTACTTTGTCAAACCTTCATAGAATTTTATGAAACTTTGGCAGAAGATTTTTTATGAATAAGAGATAAATGCCTGAAGCAAAATTTTGAAAATATATTTTATTTTCATTTTTAGAATTTTACAGATAGATTGACTTAGTTTTTTTACATTTAACATTTACAGTCAGTCTGGGATTAAAATTTTTTAACATCATAAATTTTTAAACCTTGAAAACTTGTACAGAAGCTAATCTCCAAGATCAAGAAAAAGCATCTGAAGAAAAAGTTTGATGTTTTTTTAATTCAGTATTTTACTAATAAATGGACTCACTTCTTATAGTTAACATTACACTTTTACATTGACAGCAGCAATCACAGGGCCAACACAGAGTTCAGTGGAACTATTTACAACTTTTTGTTAATATTCTATTAATTCAAGCTTTTTAATTAGCACATCCTAATTTTTACGGAGATGTTGTTTACCGAGCCCAGAAATTTAGATTCAATCCGGGTAAACTTATCAATCCTTTAAATAAACTTATTTTAAAAGGTTACCAATTCAACACTATAATTAGATCTTTGAATATTGTGTTTATTGGTATTAATATTGATTTTGTTTTCAGTAAATTAAAATCATACTAAATATTATTTTTATATACATAAGCACATTCATGACTCTACAATCTGTTGATACCAGTATCTTGGCATTGCACAAGGTCATGTTTTTCTCTTGACTGTTAAAGACGTCTTTACACTAAATCCATTGGATGTTGGATGTGTACTGATTGATATTTAAGTCGTAGATGCATGATTTTTTTATTAGTTGTTATTGGCTTTGAACTAGCTGTCAGTAACTGCGAGTACTCTCAGATCTGTACTTAGTGTCTTTTTGTTGTGGGGATGTATAAGTACCCTGCCACGTCCACTCTGTGTTTTTGTTAGATGTATTTCTGCTTTGTATCCATCTGATGATTAAAGCTCTTTTTAACTGATTTTTGTAGTTTGTTCTTATGTTGTACTGTTACACCACTGTCCCAGGTTAGGGGAGGGTTGGCGCCTTCAAACTAGTTTAACCCCGCCACATTCTGTATGTGCCTGTCCCAAGTCAGGAGCCTGTAATTCAGTGGTTGTCGTTTGTTGCTGTATATCATATTTGTTTTTCATTCAGTATTTTGTACATAAATCAGGCCTTTGGTTTTCACGTTTGCATTGTTTTACATTAGTCATTTTGGGGCCTTTTATAGCTGACTATGCAATATGAGTTTTACTCATTGTTGAAGGCCGTACAGTGGCCTATAGTTGTTAATTTCTGTGTCATTTGGTCTCTTGTGGGGAGTTGTCTCATTAGCAATCATACCACATATTCTTATTTTTATATTTTAACTTGATTAAAGAACATTTTGTAACTGACAAGATGCTTTAAATAAATCTGTTATCGTTTTTTCTTATTTATTGTTAAAGAATATGTTAGATCTTTGATGTAAATTATTGAAGTTATTATAACCTGCATTGATCAAATGCTTTAAATGTTGGCTGTCCATCACTAAAAATAGTATGCTGACTGATAACTGTACAGTATACATATATTGTTGGTTTCTTTGATATATTTTGTTGCTGTCTCATTGTAGTTTACCAAACATCTCTTTAAATTCATAAGATGAAACATATATATATAATCTATGACTACAAAGTTCTCTGTGTACTAAAATTGACTTAAAAACTTATATAATAATGCAAACTTTATTAAAGTGGAATCTTACTTACATTGAAAAGTATTAAAATGTGTACTAGGTATTCGAGGAATGAACTTGGTCTTAGATGAAGCTTGTATTTCAGATTTTGTTTATTTTGGACAATCTCAAATTTCAAGAAAAAGTACCATTACAAATCAAATAAAAGTTAATCATATCTTGAACTTTGGTCACTACAATAATTCAAACGGCATAGAAGCAGTTGTCTTTTATCATATCTTAACGTTTTTGTCATTTGGATAATTTGGTGTTAAAAGCAGATCTTTAATATTTTATGCTAAATTTATTCACAAGTTTTTGATTTGAGGCAATTAATGCTTTGACATTAAGAAACATGTACATTTTTAGGACTATATGTGGATTTCTAGATGTCACTTGGTTTTGTTGTTGTTGGATTGCTGTCTTATTGATATACACCCATACCTACTTTTATACAAATAAGACTACATGAGTTGATGGATCACATTCAAACATATGGATGGAAGTTCATCATACAGAGAATTTCAAAATGAGAAATTTCTAATATGATATTATTTAAAAGCAGCTTTGAACCAGACTGACACTCTAAGAAAGATTTTCAATTTGATAACTCACATGGTAACATTCCAGAGAAGGACAATATTCTCCAATCTAACAAATCTTAAATCTTAAATCAGGTATTCACAGCAGCAAACAACAGCAAATATCAAGTTTAAGGTCTTTGATTATAATCAAATCAAAGAAGTGGAAACTTCCCTCCACTCAAGATGAGCATCCTGCCACAAGACCACAATTGTAAAATTCATGAAACAGAAAATAAACAAAACAAAATATAGTCCAATGTCTTTTGTATTTCCATGGAAGTCAAATGCACCATATTGTCATTTTATAAGCATGTTAGAAAATTGTTTGAAAGAATGGTATTCTGTATAACAGCTTTTGTATCTCCAACTGAATATACAAAGCTCTGCTGTCCGTTTACTTAAGCTTGTACTATATCATGATTAGTTCAATCTCATTACTTACCTGTGAGCTGTTTTGGCTGGTAGTGAAGATGTGAGTACTGTTTTCCCTTTTCCACCATGGGACTCATACAATCTCAATACAACAGTCTTGTCCTTAGTTTGATCTTCACACTAAATCAGAATTATCTTTTATATTAAAGAGTGTAAAAATAAAATAGTAATTAAAACCACGCCTAGAATGCACTTAAACATAATAAATGCTTTATTTTCCAACAATTTTTTACAGACCATAGCAATCTGAATTTTAGATACATCAGCTATTTTCAAATATTTGTAAAGAAATCAATATTTCCCAGTTGAACCAGTTTGCTTTATAACTTCAACGTCTTATATTTACCTTAATATTCACCTGATGAATTTTGTTGCAATGCTGATATATTTTACAACAACTCTTCATAATATTGATAACTCTAAATGGGTCGTATATTTTAAGAAAAACATTGAAATCAAAAATGAATACTCTGATGAGAACATGTAATCTGTATCAGTGTAAACTGTGTGGAAGGAACCTTTATGTCTGACTAAGGTAATTTTTGTTTTGGAAGCAAATACTTTCTATAAATGTGGAAGTGCAAAATTGTTCAATAATTCTTTGTTGCAGTTACTGTATAAATCAAGTGTTGCAACCACATCATTTGTCATTACTGGAAACAATTTCACTTCAGTTAACTGATGTTAATCTAAGACTTAGAGCAATCCATATGATTGTTGACAGAACAAGTACAAAATGGGGGAAGACAAACCTTACATATAAATTAGCTGTACATTCAGAAATTTGTGTGTGCAGTTACTTTTGCGAATGGGCACAAGTGTTTCCTGGTAATAATTATGATTTCATTAAATGATGCAAACAAATAATGGTACCCAAATTTAAAATGTGAGTTTTTATTTCTGCAAAGCTTATCCTAGTGTCCTGTTGTACATTTTACAACAATAAAAAATATAAAATTTTTTTTTAAAATTTAGTCCCTTGGACAGAAATTATTGGTACAGCCGTACGGTTGCCTATAATTGTTTACATTAACTTCATTTGAACTTTGGTGGATAGTTGTCTCATTGGTAATCATACCACATCTCCTTATCTTTATATTGATCTTTATACAGTTTAATCACAGTTTTAATGACCTGCCAAGTTTGGATTTCTTCTAAAAGTATTACATTTGTCAGTTGTTTGAGAAAGCAAAATTGATGATTCTTGAAGATCTAGATTTTTAAGTTCTTCTTTGATAAAATTTGAAGGTGACTGATTCACTTCTTAATTAAAAAGGCATTCTGCAACATTAACAACTTAAGACTGTGAAATAGGTTTCAGTGCCACATAAAATGTATTTATAAATATTATTTCTTCAATAAATTGATGGCATAACATATTGATTACACTGTAAACTAAAATACTTAATCTCCTATGTTCTAAAAGGGGACATAACTTACCATTTTTACAGTTTCCAATATGATTTGTGCATTGTCCACCTTGAAATATGACTGGGACTCTGTAACTTCTCCCTGAACCTCAGTTGTAAACATAGGACAGTTCAAGTCATAAGCCTGATGTATTACACCAGCTTCCTGAAAACTTCCTACAAAAGAAAAAAAAATCATCTTGCCATCAACCATTTTACTGAACAAATACAGGAAAAGTGCAAAAAAAAACAAACAAAGTAAAATCAATATAGTATACACATAGCATCTCCTAGTATCCTGCTTCTGTTGCAAGAGAATCGTTACATTTAATTACTATTTACAGTCTATTTTGGTGTTCTTCTTGCAATCTGCAATGGAATAAAATTAGTTTTTGACACAAAAAAATCTCCTTGCGCCCTGTTTTAATTTCCTTTCCCATTAAACATAATGAAATTGGAACTACCAATATAAGTTTTAAAAGTATGTTGTGAAAGACTGCAGGTTATGTTGTCATTATAAATATAAAACTGAAGCCAAAAGAAAGTAATAAGAATAGACAATTTTTTTTTCAATACCCCATACAGGTTTTGATACCAGTTGTACCTTCTGAACTTTTCCCATAAGTCTCACATATGGAAATTATACACTTAGAATGAAAAAACTATAATATTCAAAGCAATATACAACTATTAAATGGATGGGATTCTTCTCCCAGCACTTTTCTACCATATATTTGATTAAAAAATGCAAAATCTTGAAATATAAAATTTATCACAATGATATCTGTTTTGTATAGGTTTCAGTTTCTACAGAGATGTGACCTAGTACTATAGAGAAGTTTGAACATGTTAAATACCTGAAATATACAATGTGTGGATTGGGAACTAACTATACTATACCTTTGTGTGGCATTACAGCATATGTGAACTGATGGACTCCCATATCAGCCTTTTCATCTGGAGCTTTCGGTGATCTCAACCTTGAAGAAATAGCAGGTTATTTAAAGTTTAAAATATTTAAGAGTTGTATTTAAAAGGAATAAAAGACTTGATGACTGCCAACACTGGATAACAAAGTAAATTCTATTTTAACAAATATAAATTTCTATTTTTGAAAAAAATTGAGTAACGACAAAAACTCATAAAAAAATCCAAGGACATATCAGTGGAATATCTTCTTGACTAGTTCATTCCTAACAAGGCAAATTTTCTGACATAAAATCACTGGATTCTGCATATAAATAGATTAGAGCTTGCTGTTCCCTTTAATTGAAAAATCCAGACATTATTACTTAAGGTTGTAGCAATTAAAAAAGTGAGGGAAAAATGATAAAATGACATGACACCCTGAATTCTGACCCTTGTGAATTAATTTTTTCAGTAGATACCAATTTTTAGCTTATTGAGGAAAAATTATATTTTCACAGATATTTGAGTTCTATGTTTTTCCAAAATCTTCATACAAGCCTATAGAACATTTCTACTTCATAAATCATTTGAATTCGTAGTTTACCTATTACCACAAAACATGGTATTCCACAATTAGTATTGAATCCACAATTATTCAATAGCTATATTGGATAAAAAAAATTAATTCTGGTATCTGTTTACAACTTGGTAGTGGAACAAAAAAACGTATACTGTGCTGTTTGTATTTAAAGGCTTTACAAAATGTAGACCTTTGATGGCCCAAGCTTTTCAGAGAAATTAAAAAAATTTGAATGCAATTGAAATTAAGTTTTTAAAATTACATTTATATTGGTGTTTATTTAAAAAGGCTATAGGAAAATGAACATTCATAAAATTATCATCTGTTATATGATTTATAGATTACTCCGTTATATCAATGATACTTTATATATATATATATATATATATATATATATTATATATAAGTGCCTATAAATAGCATCATTTTAACACACTATTTAGTATGTAAATATAAGAATGTTTAAAATATTTACAAAATGATGAAAATAAACGCAATATTTCGCTAGACTAACTAGCTTTATCAAGCGTGCATCTATCCAGGTGAAATCGGATGTAGATGATAAGAAACTTTTGCAGCTCAATCTATATGTTGCACTTGAATTTAGCTGCCTTGAAAATAATACATAATTTGTATGAAGTTCAATTTTTTACAAAATTGGTAGTTGAAGTTAGCAACGTCCATTGGCCAATATTATAGGATAAAAAGACCACGGCGAGAAGGAGAAGAGAAAATTTTTGGATCCACCAACTCCACACTTTAGAACCTGATGGTCTTAACGAAAAAGATGAGAAAAGATACAGGAAAGATAAAGAATAATTTAGTACACAGCATCGTCCTTTTTATCCTGTAATATTGGCCAGTGGACGTTGCTAACTTCAACTACCAATTTTGTAAAAAATTGAACTTCATCCAAATTATGTATTATTTTCAAGGCAGCTAAATTCAAGTGCAACATATACATTGAGCTGCAAAAGTTTCTTATCATCTACATTCTATTTCACCTGGATAGATGCACGCTTGATAAAGCTAGTTAGTCTAGCGAAATATTGTGTTTATTTTCATCATTTTGTAAATATTTTAAACATTCTTATATTTACATACTAAATAGTGTGTTAAAATTACATTGTTAGGCAATCTATATATATATATATATATATATATATATATATATATGTGCCACCTCTAAAGAAAATAAACTTACTTTCTTAAACAATTCTGTTAATGTGCAGCAAAGGAACATTTTTGCAGGGAAAACGTTAACTGGATTAAAAGCATCCAATGGATGAAGATTTTTCTTAATACTAAATGGACATAGACAAATGCCCAACAATCATCTCTCAAACAACACTATAACATTAACAGAGTTAAACAACATGATAGAAAGTGTCATTTGTGAGTTTTCTAAATGCATTAAATTTTTATGTCATTTTCCTGAAAAAAGATTTTTTACAGGTATGCAAGCTTAAATACTTCAAAAGTGATTTTTTTTTTAAATTCTGTATTTCCAATTTTGTAGCACACTTAAAAATTAGGTTGAGATTGAAAACTATTTCTTCAATACCTTTTTTAATATTTCAAATAATTTTGATTTTTGATTTTTCTAAAATCTCTAATACATTTTTGTAAGAGCTGCTCCACAATACTATACAACTTACAGAGAAAGTCTAAGAACATTGTCAAAACAAGAGTAGCCATATTTACAATCATTCATCACTGCCAGTCCATAACCATGTTCTGATATATCAGCCCATTTGTGTCCACAGACCTGTAAAAAAGCTAGACTAATTGAATTTGAATAAAACATAGTGAAATTCATTATTACAATATACATCTTTTTAGAAAAAAAAGTCTGAATCTGATTTTAAATTACAATTGAATACAAATTATTTCATTTGTTGGGAAGTATAGTAAAAATACTCATTAGCTGCCATGGAGAGCAAGGGTGAAAAGTAAATATAAAACAATTTGCTACTTTAATTTACAAACATTTCCTGCTTAATAATCAAATTTAATTAAAAGAATGTTGAAGAGCAAAAGATCATTAATCATTTTTATATCTATATTAACCAAATATTAACTTTAAATCAACAGGGATTACAAACCCCTAATACTTGACAGTTTATTGAGCTTTATTGCCAGGAACGGATTGATAGAAAAGTATAATCACAAATGCAATAAATATTTAAATGACTTTTTCATCTACAAATACATAATATAAGGAAAAACATACTGAATGAAACTAAATCCCAAGAACTTTGCATGCCTCTAGATTTTTACTTTCAAGAATGGTAGGAGACAAAGATATATAAATATGCCATAAGCTATATAACAATAAATGGAGTATGTGTCCATGGGACATTGATGATGCTCCCACTTGCATATAACGTTATAGAGGGACATAAATAGAGAACTGTAAAAGTGATGCCACCCAAATTCGAACTTGATCTGTGTTTAATGGTAATAATTAGCATTGTGTATAAGTTTCATAACATTTGGTTGAGGCAAACTTAAGTAAGAAAAGGGAAACCAATTTTGGGACATACGTACAGACGGACTAGGGTAACACTTAATGCCCCCTTCGCCTAGCGGCAGGGGCATCAAAAGGGACCAAAAGGATATGAGTAGCTAAACTTTGCCAAATGCTGCTGCAACAATAAAAATATTTTTTTGCTAAAAACAAAAATGTTTATTTACACTGTGAACGTACAAACACTATACCTCAAACTGAGCAGAATCCCATGATGTATTGTTATGATTAGTTCTCTGTAAGTGACCATACTGTATATCATATGAAGCTTGCATAGAGTGAATTGATGTTGGGAATTCTACCTTAAGGAATTTTCTATTTTCATGCCATGTGACCTATAAAATATTAAAAAAGAGTATATTTTAAAACAAACATTATGAAAGGGTATAAAACAAAGATCAATATGTACTTAATTTCTCGAGGCATTGAAGACCTGTTGGTGACCTTCTGCTGTTGTCTGTTCTATGGTCGGGTTGTTGTCTCTTTGACACATTCCCCATTTCCATTCTCAATTTTACATGAGTTTATATCAGCAATTAGGAGATCCTGCATAAATTCAAGAAATTCTGTCTCTTTCAAAGTGAAACAAAACAGAACCAGAGCAAAAAAGATATATGGGAGGAAGAAGTTACATATTTCTTCTAAAGAGCCTACTTTTGAATTATGGATAAGATAAATAGGAACTGATGAAGAAAACTTGTAATGAGCCAGTTAATTTTTGATTGGACAATTTAAGAAGATGTGGTATGATTGCCAATAAGACAACTCTGCACCAGAGACCAAATGATGTAGAAGTAAGCAATTATAGGTCACCATACGGCCTTCAACAATGAGCAAAACCCATACTGCATAGCAAGCTATAAATGAACGGCTGATTAATATAGGTGTTCAACCAATTGATTGACAGGGCCCTAAAAAAAACTCAAACCTGTAGTTGCTATTAACATCATCTTCATTTGGTCGCTACTGGATAGTTACTTCATAGGCAAATCATACCTTATCCCCTTATTTTCATATCAAATTGTCAAAACAGGTTTGATTCGAAGGGAATTAACACCTATTATTGTTTAACCAACTTAAAAGAGAATATCATTCAACATGAAGAATAAAACAAATATACTACACAAATTTCTACAAACCTCTGTGTCAAATCTGATGTAAGGAGACTCTGCATCCAAAGTGATAACTTGTTTTATATAACTTTTATTACTTATCTTCAGTGAAAACTATAAAACAAAGGAAAACAATGAAAATTAATATCATACTTATATTAAAGGTCATTACCGTAGAAAGGCTTGTATAGTCCGCGGTTTTATTCTCCAAAATTGGACCTTCCAGACGGGGTGCGGACTATAGAGTACAATAAGCAAGAAATAAGAGAAAAATTTCAATTTTGCGGTCGAGGTGGTTTGTTTACGTTCCGCCATCTTTGTTATTTCTATTGTAGAGGGCGCTCTTATCATTTTTCAAACTAATAATTTTAACTCATCCATATTAATAAGTTATTTCTATTCAATATCAAATTATTACTGATAAATATAAAAACTAAACCTTTCATTACAAATTTCTCGTTTCTTTTCAATGCATTGGTTGAAATAAACTGGTATCTGCTCGATTGAAACGATACAAACATAGTAAAAAAGACAACCGTAAACCAGCTTAGAATTTGTAAACTACAAAACGAAATCGGTTATTGTTCGTTCCGTTTTGGTGTTTCATACTGACTAATATGGTTTGTATTAGCTTAAGACCCTTCAAACATTAATGTGATAGATATATTAAAGACTGTTTTACAAAAGGATGGAACTGTTTTGCTTTCAAAGTCGTATTATAGTGATATCTGTTATGTACGGATTTCGACTCTCACCGGTTAATTTCTTCTTTTACACGTGCTTTTTAAACTTCCTGTTTAAACATACACAAGTTTCTAAATTGTTTTTTAAGTGAATTAAACTTATTTTAACAATCATGAAGCGTTCTAGAATCATTAACAAGCAGTTTCAGCTTCTGTTTGATGATGGAAAACAGGTTTTTCCAAGAAAATACCGCAAACGACCGCACAGGATTTGAAATTACCGGAGTTTCATTAGACCTTTTCTAACAGTTACAAAAAGTTTTTTTTCCTAAAATTTCGTGGGGAGAAGGGGGTGCGGACTATGTACCACTGCGAACTATACAAGCCTTTCTACGGTAGTTTTTCCCATTGACCAAGGTGCATACAAATAAGCTTTATTACTTACAATTCCAATGAAATGCACTAAAAATTAAGTCTAGAAAAAGAATTGATCAACACTTACAGAACAATTTGCCTGTGTAGAAATTCATACTCTGGTTGTTATGAAACAGGTTTATACATGTATGAATATTTTGGTAGGCATGACATTCACCAACAAAATAAGACTTAACATTTAACATGCAATTATTGTTCTGTATAACATCAAGTAATATCATGATAGATTCCAAATTATGATGCAATTACTTAATGTACATAAACCCTTATACATGTGTTTTGAATCTGTGTGGGCATGGGCAGCACTTTTTTTCAGATCCCAACCACCCATAACATAAATTTTTCATTTTAATTATAATCTTTACAAATTCTAAAGAAAATGCAAGCACCCACAATTAATCAAATTGAGTTCCTCCCATCCAACCCCCACCCCCATGATCACATTTGGAAAAGTACTTTTATATCCTTTAAACAAATTTACCCGAAAGAATATTTGAATAGGCTAATAAATATCAATGCTAAAATAGACATTTTGGCCTATCTTCATCTTGCTGAAAGATGTTAATTCTTAAATCATTATTGAAGACCTACTGGAACCTGTAAAAATGAAGAGCAGCAATAAAAGCATGGTTTGCTTTGATAAATCGTTATTTCCTAGTGTACTTTCGAAATGTTGAAATGGTTCTCTCCAGGCACTCATGCTTCCTCCATGAATAAATTCTGGCCTCCATTATATAGCCGAGTGATGAGCTAAAAGTGAACTTCAGCACCAACAATCAATCAATCAATCAAATCAAGTTTATAAATACAACATACTAACTTCCAATGAAGCTCTCAGTGGTCCTTCATCTAGAATCTTTACATGTTGCAGTTTTTCACTGACAGGTTTTCTAGAATACAAAATGTAATCATGTTAAGTTTAAAAGAGAATATTTAAATTTAAACAATATAGTAATAAGAGTCATGCATGCATATTTTTTATATAAGTAACATCATTACCATTCAAGATGCATGATATCTATCATCAGTACTTTGTTGTGTATTACTTAAAATCAATTTTTTAACATGAAATTGCTTATATCAGAACCTTAATAGCCTTACTAAGCTATGGTCTTCCATAAAACAATGTAAGTCAATTCTTTGTATTAATCTTTTTAGTGTCCAAAATATGTACCAATATCATATGCCTCAGAGTTTCATAGAAATAGACCTCAAAGCAAAACTAACCTGTGATAGACAAATAAAGAAACAATGTAAAAACACTAAATCTATTTCCCATTTCTTTTTGGATATGAGATAAAATAAAAAACATTTATGTGACAAAGACAAAAATAAAGTTTAAAAAATTAGCTAACAGAAGTGTCCTGTTGTTTTCACACTTTGTATTCATTAGGATATCAGTATTAAATTATACATGTTAGAATAACCCTTTTCATTTCAATATCAATAATTAAAATAAAACATTTTTTTTTATCAAAATTTTACCTTGTCTCGAGATGGTAATCCATCACATCCCATGCATCCCAAAACAATGGTATATCATCAAATATAACAAACTGGTTACCATGGTAATCTTTGGATATGGCGTTTCTGAAATATATCAAATCTTATTTGTTGTTGTAAATGACAATGAGTTTACAAAACTATAAATTGTATCAAAGTCAGCATAGTTCAAAACATACATTGTTTTGCTGTACTGTTTGCTATTTCTTTTTTCAATATCTCAATGTTATTCAGAATTTTTATTCAAATTTTAATTCATGTGCATCTATACAAAATAAAAAGACCAAAAAATACATGACAATTCTAAAATGCATGTAAAACTCTATAAAACATACATTTGAAATTCAAAATCTCTGGCACAACTAAAACATCGTTTATAAGGTTTTACGTTCTATCAGATGACAAGTAGAAAATGAACCATATATGGAAATAAAAGGTAAAATAACATAAATACTGAACTCCAAGGAAAATTCAAAATGGAAAGTCCCTTATCAAATGGTAAAATCAAAAGCTCAAACACATCAAACGAATGGAAAACAACTGTCATATTCCTTATGTAGAAAATGGTGGATTAAACCTGGTTTATAGTAAACCTCTCACTTGCATGACAGTCGTATATAATTTCATTATATTTCCATTATATCAAAGCTCTGTATGCCATGATGTAAACAATCAATAATGTGAAGAAAAAAACATGACATTGTGTTGTAAAAAATTTTTGATTTTTTTTTCTAGTGTCAATCATTTTGTCAATTATAATCAGTATTTTTGTGATTTTACTTTTTGCACATCATTGGTAATTTATTGTTTATTTTAACATGAGTATTTTGATGCATGCACCTTTTAGAAAGTGATAAAAATGCAAAAAATGTCATTCAGAAGATTGGAAAAGATCATGGCTGACAAGATAATTACCTATCATCTCCATGGAGATGAAGCTGTGTCATTCTACCTTCGTAATCAAATGCTGCACTTACTATCTTGTTCTTCAACCAATGAAGTTGTCCCTGAAAACATTAAACATATATTGTGTATATTGTTTATAAAGATTACGTCATGCTGTGGATGGTGGCTGATCTAAAAACTCTTCATTTACTTCTGGCCTGAATCTTGATGATTTCCATTTGTGAGGTTCAAGACAAGAATTTCACTCACATGAAAAACAATTTGTTTTTCATTAAAATCAAGATATCAGAATAGGTTATCAGAACATGAGATTTTTTTTGTCAAAAGTGCAAAAAATTGGGGGAAAAAAAAGAAAATGGTGTAAGTATTTTTTATGATAAAGATGTGATAAACAGATTGCATCATATAATTTTCTATATCCAACATTCAAGTCCTCTATAAACCACTGGCATCTTAAAGGCTCTCATCTCAGGTTAATTCTCAAGAGTTGAGGCTAATAACTGGGCCAATATGGAGAAATGCAATGTCATAATCTCCAACCAAATGTGTCCCATTGGAATTTGTGTTTTGATACAATTTCATGTATACATGATTTAATTGAATGTAACTGGAATATAATAATATTCTCAGATATATTTTTACTATTACCTTTTTAAATGCATGTGCATGATGTTGACAAGCTATTGGTTTAAACACTGTGTATCCAAAACCTGCTACTTCCATAAAAGCTGAAAATATATGTGTAATAATGTGTATAAGTCTCATGAATTCAAAAACAGTATATCCAAAGTCCATTATCTTTTAAATTTGACTATTTAAGAACATTTTATAATTTTACAAACATAAATCAGAGGGAAGTTTTCAATTTTTAGTTTGCTTGAAAGATGATGAATGAAACAGAACTTTTTGTCAGACTTATGCATAAATGTTTCTATGATAGTTTTTGAGATACATGAGAATCAGTAAAAAATCTAAAGATGGCAAAAAAAAAATAACTAATAAAATTGATCTTCATCAGTTACATCAGATTTATTGATATTTGTTGGATATCAATATACATGGATTAAGTGAGAAGGGGAAAACCACTATTTCAAATACCGTAGAAAGGCTTGTATAGTCCGCGGTTTTATTCTCCAAAATTGGACCTTCCAGACGGGGTGCGGACTATAGAGTACAATAAGCAAGAAATAAGAGAAAAATTTCAATTTTGCGGTCGAGGTGGTTTGTTTACGTTCCGCCATCTTTGTTATTTCTATTGTAGAGGGCGCTCTTATCATTTTTCAAACTAATAATTTTAACTCATCCATATTAATAAGTTATTTCTATTCAATATCAAATTATTACTGATAAATATAAAAACTAAACCTTTCATTACAAATTTCTCGTTTCTTTTCAATGCATTGGTTGAAATAAACTGGTATCTGCTCGATTGAAACGATACAAACATAGTGAAAAAGACAACCGTAAACCAGCTTAGAATTTGTAAACTACAAAACGAAATCGGTTATTGTTCGTTCCGTTTTGGTGTTTCATACTGACTAATATGGTTTGTATTAGCTTAAGACCCTTCAAACATTAATGTGATAGATATATTAAAGACTGTTTTACAAAAGGATGGAACTGTTTTGCTTTCAAAGTCGTATTATAGTGATATCTGTTATGTACGGATTTCGACTCTCACCGGTTAATTTCTTCTTTTACACGTGCTTTTTAAACTTCCTGTTTAAACATACACAAGTTTCTAAATTGTTTTTTAAGTGAATTAAACTTATTTTAACAATCATGAAGCGTTCTAGAATCATTAACAAGCAGTTTCAGCTTCTGTTTGATGATGGAAAACAGGTTTTTCCAAGAAAATACCGCAAACGACCGCACAGGATTTGAAATTACCGGAGTTTCATTAGACCTTTTCTAACAGTTACAAAAAGTTTTTTTTCCTAAAATTTCGTGGGGAGAAGGGGGTGCGGACTATGTACCACTGCGAACTATACAAGCCTTTCTACGGTATTCAATAAAATAAAAGTTTTTAGTTACTTTGATTGGAAGAATGGGACAACCACAAATAAAGGTATCCTTGAAATAGCAGATATTTCTCAAACCATGAAAATAACTGAGTCCACAGTATACTGAAATGTTAATCACTTTTGAGCGTATTTTTTAGTATTGATTGATTGATTGATTGGTGTTTAACGCCACTTTCAACACTATTGTGCTATTTCGTGGCGGTCAGTTTAATTGGTGGAGGAAGCCAGAGTGCCCGGAGAGAACCCAGACCTTCGGTAGGAAAACTGACAATCCTAGTCAATTAAGATTGGAGTCAAGTGCACCTGCCCCGTGCTGGATTCAAACTCACAACCTCAGTGTTGACTGGCTAGTGATACAGTAGTCTGACTATTTAGACCACTCGGCCACCAGGTCCCTATTTTTTTGTAAGATCTTTAACTCCTCATTCTTCTTTGAAAACATGCTGTTACCTGAGGTATGCTCTTTGATGTGTTTCTCTGTATTTATGAAATGTTAATGCTCCATCTACATTAGCAGTATACAAAATATATGCCAAATTGAGGTTTAAACCTAAATTTGAACTTCACTGAATATGGAAATGTGTTGGTGAGAGTGGGGCATATTCGTTCTCGATGTTATGAATACAATGTAACAGAAAAACACAAATTAAAGAGAATATCAAAAAGTGGAGGTAAAATTTATAGAGAAAACTGTTTACAACAGGTAAAGGAAAAACCTCCAACACAAGGTGCAGCATTTCACAGATAACAACTTACAAAGTGTGATTTAAAAAAAAAATTATCTTTTTTTCTAATGTCTACTTTTCACAGGTTTTAGTTCTGTTAAAATATTTAGAAACATTTTCCTATTCACTGGTTAATATCCTTCCTTATTATCTGTTACATGTAATACAAAGTAACTATTTACCTAAAGTTTGACCAAAACTGTCAATCTGTGTAAGATCACTGTCAGTGGAGACACGACGTTTCTTAGATGCACTTTGACCTTGATTATCAAGGGCAATTACTCCTTTCCTCTCCCATCCAAGAGTGTTATTTATGATGGTGCTGGAGCTATCAGACTTTTTCTCTTTAGTGAAGGGAACTTCAGCCAGTAATTTTTTATACTTTTTCTCAACATCTGTAAGAAAGTTTTGATGGAAGAATACATAGACAAAAGGTGGAATCACTTAAGTCTTTAAAATGATAATTAACTTTCAAAGTCATGAATTATAATATATTTGTATTCTGGATTGTTTATGTCTATTTAAAAAATGTCAGTGATTATGTGACAGCAATATTGTCAAATACAATGATTGTAATGTTCAACCAAAAAGGTCAATCTTGCATTGCTTTAAATGAAATCAAATATGAATACAGAATTAAAACTTGCTTTATGCATTCGTGCATGGAGACTGTTAACCTGTATTGTAAGTTTGCTATCTCCATGACATTTACACCACCTCTGCTTTTATTCACATAATAATTAACATACTGTAAACTATCTTGTATAGATATTTCACAAACCTTTGTATAATTGCACAGCATCGTGGAAAACCTGGAAATATATAATCAAACATTATTCTGTAATAGGTCCAACAACCAAAGTCAGATAAAGTCCTATTTATATTCCTATTTTATTTTATTTTATTTTACGTAACTACAGCATTTAAATCAATTTCAAAGCAATAATTTCTGCAAAAATATACTTTTTTATTAATTAATATCATATTTTATGAATATCAGAGCATTTAAAATTCTTTATCTGTTTTTCTTTCTTTGTTTTCCTTCAGCACAAAAAATTTGCCATTACATGTACAATAAAATAAACAAAACACAATTTTATGTAACTTAATTGTTTCAGGAACACTGTGGCTCATGAATAAAGTATCACTGATATATTTCCCACAAGGTCTTGTCAATATGCACTAGCCAACTGAAGTGAAAACCATTGTGAATTGTCAGCCATCTTGAAATTCATATCCATACCACGATTACAAATTCTGTTTACCACTCATGTTAAAATGTTACATTACATCAGTGCCTTCTTATGAAAAAGATCTTTTTTATGAATTTAAAAAACATTTCGGTCAGAATATTGGTTGTAGATGGATGATAGAATTCCCTTCCAAACTTCCTGCATTTTATATTTAATAGAATAGCCCTATAGATTATGGAACAAATTTTATGGAGGAAGAATTTCTTAAAACATGTACTGACTTAACAAGTGAAACTGCAAGCTACTGCTCACTGATGATACCCCGCCCAAATATTTCGGTAAATAGGAAGTTGTTGAGTGATGAATCTGAAAATGCATCACACGGTATAGATGACTTATATAAACCCTGAAGTTCCTGAGAAAAATGTGTCGAAAATTTTCAACTTGGCTATCATGTGTAAAATGATACAAGTGTTCGGTAAACAGGAAGTTGTTGAGTGATGAATCTGAAAACGCATCACAAGGTACAGCTGACTTATATAAACCCTGAAACCAAATTTCAGAAATCTTTGTATTGTAGTGCCTGAGGAAGATGCAAAGAAAATATTCATGGGATGGACGGACAGACTGACGGATGTACTGACGGACAGACAGAGGTAAAACAGTATACCCCCACTTTTTTAAAGCGGGAGTATAATTTTTTAAAGCGGGGGTATAAAAAGTGTCTTTCATTTTTATTTCTTTCTACTGGTACAACAATATCAAATCACTTACCAGTTCAATAGAAGAGCCAGGTAAGACATCATGAAACTGATTCAGAAGTATTTGTTTCCACATATGATCCAGTTCATCTCTGGGATAACTGTATCCCTGATTTGTCAGTGCTGATATTGTTGCTAAATATTCCAGGTTATGGAGCATAAATTCACATTTTCTGTTGTATCTTTTCAGCTGTAAGAATGAAAACATACATATCTTTTGCTGGAATTTTTTTTTTTTTTTTTGAGTTATAGGCTTAAAAATTAGCACATACAAACAGCAGTTACAATTTTAGATTTTGTTTTTATTGCCTTCTATTGTTTCATTGCTGCCACAATTGTAATCAAAATACACCCTTTCACTTTTTTGTGTTGGTTATTTTGTGCCATATTTTTTTCATTTCAAAGACAACTAAATAATTACATTAGAATGATGTTTTCTGCCCTTCACAGAATAATCTTTAAGGAGGCTTTTTTCAGCTGAAACCTCTAAAATAGCAAGTGCATGAGAAAGATGGGATGGACTTTGACAGAGGAATAAAAACAGCCATCTAAAACCGTTTGAAGTCTCTTTTATAATGAAATATACTGTAAATTCAGAAATTATTGCATGCATTTATTATTGCGATTTTTCAAGAATTGACAAAAATGCGAGTTTTATTACTGCGATTTCGTAAAAACAGTGCATACAGGTCTATATTTCAGTTATCAGAATGCGAGTTCTTATTATTGCGATACTCACCCAGTCGCATTATTCGCATTAATAAAAACCTCACAATAATATCTGAATTTACAGTATTTAAAATACTAGATTAAGATATTAAAAAAAAAGTGAACAGCTTGTCTTTGTTGTTGTCATTATGAGTGTATTTAATACAGACTATTTTGTTAGAATAAAAACTTTGTGTTTTGTTTTTTTATGACTTTTGACCTCTTCTTACCCTCCTATACATAAAAAAACCATTGATATGTTTATCTTACAGACAAATATGTCATAATCATCTTTATTTACCAAAGTCATAACAACTATAGGCATACAACATAAAAAAAATAATTACCAAACAACAATTACTTGTTTATCGATGAACTACATGTAGCTCCAATGCACACAATACATCTATTTGTCATTAAAACAGTACAGTTTATTGTTTTATTTTGTACATGTACTCTATAATGCATTTAATACTACAAAGTCAAAATAACAACTTACAGCACTGGACATTAGAGTTATGCAATTATGATCAATTACTTCATGTCAGAGGGACATATATATAAGTAAATGAAATACCATTGTTAGGTCACTTTAGTCTCAAGAAAAATATAGGTAAGAGATGTTTTAAATACTTTTTACACATATCTATCTTTTAATGTTTCTTGATTAAGAACTTTTTATCTGTACTTAGTTATCATCTTATTTGTAAAGTTTTCTTGTCTCACTTATTCTATGCTTTGTTTTTTTAGTTTTTGTTTTGGGGTTTTGATTGTAAAATAATTTTATAAAACAACTATGGAAAAAAAAACCTCAATAAACAAACCTTACAATATACATTTTTTTCTAAGGTGGTATAGGAGTTATCCATCCATTAATTTTGGATGGAAAATGACTGCCAGTGGTCAGTTTAAATTTTCACTGAAATTAGCAAAGTTTGATGAAGAAATACAATTTCATTTGTGTGACTTTTACAATCTAAATATAAATGATATTTAATTCTATCTTAGAATAACATTATAACTTTTTTTGCAAATGAAGAAAATTAAAAACTTTAAGTAAATAATTTTTACAGAATTCTTCATATTTTCTATGTTTTATAACAACAGATATATTTTGTAAGATTCCTTCATTTGTTTAAATTGAAAGTCTTTCTACACCGCAATTAAAATTTAATAGTATGATCTCATCAACCATTCAAAAAAACTTTATAAATTTGGACTTAGGACTTTTTATCGAAAGATATAAAACTACCTGGGGACCTAAATTTTCGATAGACCAGTTTAGAAAATTTGTTGAATAATGTGCTCAACATACTAAAACCATGAACAGTAATTTATGTTGGCTAATGTTCAATTTGTTTTCATTTAAAAATAAATTTAAAATGGAAATAATTGTTGTTGGAACAAACAGGAAATAAAGGTGCAACATTTTTTTTTTTTTCTGGATACAATCGTCACATTACAAACAAACACTTATATCAAAATAAGAAGTATCGAGGAACCTGTACCTCAGTCTAAATAAGATAAAGAGAAGGAACAGTTTCTATTGCAATTTTATTAACAGTATTGTACACGATGTATATGAAGAACCAACTACTTAGGTTTACTGGGAAATAAATTGCTAGCTAGAATAGACTTGTAACTTTGAGTAAACTTTTTAAATATCTAGTGCTGAATTTGATATTTTTTATGTTATGCTGTCTTGACACTACATTAATTCATTATTCTACTATCTATTAATTTCTGTCGCTTAAATGCACATTCATAATTTCACTTTTCCTTCATGGGTTAAAAATCTGGTGCTAAAACATCCTATATTTTTTTGCTAAAATGTCCTACGCCAATAAATTTTTAAGATTTTATTATTTATCATTAAATTTATTCCTTCTATTCTAATTTTACTGACACATCAATTCATCTATTTTTTTTACTTGTTGGGCTGTTGTCTCAATAATATTTTCAATTTCAACTCTTTTCTTGAGTATCTAAGTTAAATGAAAATTTAATATGGTATATCTTTTTTTAATAGAAAATGAACAAGACCATCCTGTTACTGGTAGTCCTCTTGGTTTGTGTTTACCATGCCACAGCACAGCTTTTGCCAGCAGGAGGAGCATTTCTAGCTGGACTTTCTCTGCCATTTATAATTAACGGAGGCCAGTTTCCTTTACCTGGCACATTCCCAGCTGGAATTCCACCACCACCCTTCTACTACCCTGGACCTAGATTTTGTGAGTTTACTTTATATAAAATACCATTAAAAAATTAAAATAATACTTTGTAAATTTTATGCGTCTAAAGCGCTTTTCTAGATTTAACTTCATAAGGAATGCTCAAGGCCAAATATTTGAAAGACAAGGATGTAAAAAAACGGAAACAAGTGAAGAGCTATAAGAAGTTTTTAAGTACTCTCAGAACTTTAGTTGATGTCTTTTTTGTTGTGGGGATGTATAAATTCCATGCCATGTCAGGTCTGATTTTGGTTAGACGTTTTTCTACTTTGTATCAATCTGATGAGTTAAGTCCTTTCAACTGATTTTTATAGTTTGTTCTTATGTTGTACTGTTACACCAATGTCCCAGGTTAGGGGGAGGGTTTATCCCGAGCAAACATGTTTAACCTCGCCACATTCTTTATGTGCCTGTCCCAAGTCAGGAGACTGTGGTTCAGTGGTTGTCGTTTGTTCATGTCTGTCATATTTGTTTTTCATAAATTGTTTTGTTATGAATAAGGTCATTAGTTTTCTCAATTGAATTGCTACATATTTTGTTGGGGCTTTTTATAGCCTACTATAAGGTATGGATTTTTCTCATTGTTGAAGACAGTACGGTTAAGAGATTGAATATTTTCCCTTTTCTCTAGTTTATATGATTCTTTCTGGATGTTAAGTGAAAATTCTGTATCAAACAATTTGAAAGCTAAATGTTTTTCATTAATTGTATATATCAAAATCTCCAGTCTAATGGGATGGTATCTAAAAAGTAGTTAGAATTCAAAATATGAATACAGTTAATCATTAATTAATGTTTAGCAATCTTTTTCATGGTGAGTTATCCAACTGCAAAATTCAAGTCAATGAGACCTAGATTCTATTACTTTATGATAAATGACAAAAGAAAATAATCCCTGCCAAAACACCATGAGTTTTAGGCAAAGTTCAAGGTGAAGATGTAATAAGGCTACTCTTCTGGACACTTGAAGTTGAAAATCAAGAAGTATTATAAATCTATCTAATACCAAACTTCAGATGTTCACAACATATTAGTCTGTAAGATATTGGTATTCATATTTTTAAAATTTTATCTTATAATGCTTGCTTTAAGTCTTCAAACTTCTTTCACCTACATATAATAATACATTTACAAAAACTGCCAATATAGTAACATTTTGAGATCTTGCCTTTCATATTTAAATATGTGCCAAGCCTTCAAGAAATAAAATTTGCAATATGATGTCCTTAGAAACATGTCAATGAAGTTAAACTATATCTTTGTCTAAGTTTGTGGCTCATATCTAATTTTGCGAAAAAACTATGAGAAAAATTGCAATTTCAGGTCAAATACATCAATTTCAATATGCGAATGACATAATAGCAATATCACAACTGACTTTTCTGCAATAAAGTATCCATAGCATATCATCCTATTTGTTAATCAATGAAATTAATATAATTTTAGAGGATTGAAGAATTTTACAATTTTTGCAATTTTATAGGCAAGATAGTGACTCTTATCATACCTCCTCTTTTTATTAAAGAGACTCCTCATGGGGTTTTTTGATTATGTGATTACTTGGCTGTTTTTATAGTGATTATTTAATTACCAGACCAAATATTTCATGATTATATGATTATTTGATAATCTAGGACTGTATTTTTGATTATTTGATTATCTTGTTTAAAAAAATAATTAATGATTATGTGATTATATTGGCAAAAAAATTGTGATTATGTTTTTACATGGACACCCCCATGAGGGGCCTCATTAAATAAGTCTAAGAATGGAATTGAAGAAGAGAAAGTAGACCTCTGCAGAATTTATCTATACTCAATTTTATATATATATATATTTACTATTATTTTAATACTTCTTTTTAATTTTTACAGTCTAAAAAGAACAAAAGATCGATTGGCCTAATATTACTGATGACGATTTCCATGACAACAAGACCACACAGAAACACAACATCAATACAGGCTGTAAAATCATTTATTATATCACCACAACTGCCCAAAATGTTTTTTAAAAACACGGTTTTTAAAAAGTTTTGTTAAGATTGTTTTGTAACTCTTCTGTGAACATAATTAATTATTCCACTGTATAATATTCAAAATTATATATACCATAATGCTAAACATTAAATAAAGTTTTTTTCAAAGTGGTATGTTCCAAAGAGATTTTAAATTTTATAAAAATAAGGAAAGTATTCAAGATCCCAAAGAAATACAAGGGAGAAGATATATTTTGGAGCTTATTTGGCCCCATTAATTGAACAAGATTCAAAGGAGTTAGAAACATTAATCTGGTAAACATATGCCAAATAGATATGAACATAAAAATCTGGATTATTCATACATCAAGAATTGCTGATACTTTTTACAGATTAAACAAAATCATAAACAGCTCTATATAAAAGATTACAATATATGCTAAATTAGACAAAATAGATGAAAAAAAGTAAAATGTTTTTATATAGCAGTCTTAAACCAAAAGGGGTAAACTATTTTCAAGTAAACAAAATTTTATCTGTAGAAAAATAATCACATTCTGTAGATTAATTTATTTCAGTGGGGTACTAACTTCCATGGATGAGGGAAAAAAAATTATTTTTGTGGATATTTGATTTCAAGGTTTTGCCAAAATCAGCTTACAAATCTACTAACAAATTTGTACTTCTTTAAATAAAAATTTAATTTGTGATTTACCTTTATTCACGAAAATTGGTACAAAAAAATAATGATAAATGACAATAACTCAGAATAAGTGATCACAACTTCAAATTAGAATGGGGAAGACATTTAGATATTTCCAAGAAACAAAGGTCTGTGACCTTAGTAGTAATTCATTAGAAAATGAAAAAACATTTTTTATGAAATTGTAAAATTAACAAAGAGTTAAGAGATTTTTTTTAACTATAACATGAAAAGCATCTCAAGTAAATAAACTTGGTTCCTATATAAATAAAAAGTGAATTGTACCAAGGACAAGGATCTCTTTTTTACTGTTATTTTATGATTTATTAACTACGGTATGACAACAAGGAGATGTATGCCTGAATTGTATTTTTTTGTTATATTTGTTACTAGCTTATTTATTTTAATGACAATAAAGATTTAAATATTTCACTGGATTTATTTTATTGCTAAATTTATTTGCTGAATTCAATTTCTGTCCATTTATTATAGTTTTGAAGATATGAGTCAAGAAGAAGCTATTAAAATTACAACAAATCAGCTTCCAATCATCCCTTAAAATGTAATTCTATTTTTGTTTCACTTATTGATATTTGAATGGAATTGTTTTGATTGATGAACATGTTGTGTAATCTTTATAAAACACACCCAATCCATAATGGTTTAGCAAAAGTTTAACTTACAAGAGTCATGGGTTGACAGATGAACAGAAAATGATTCCTATGTAACCACCTACCTTCGTTTACAGAGGTTATAAGTACGCATATAAACAAAAATTATAAAATTATCCCTGTTTTAATAATTTTTTTACTGGGTGTGATTTATAATTTTGAAAAAGATACAGTTTTAAATCAACTCACCTTAGCATGAGTAGTATATGTACCATTGTGAAGTTCTAAGTACAACTCTCCTCTCCATCGACATAATTTTGAGATATCCTCCTGTTCTACAGAGGTAAAGTACTTATCTGGTGTACTCATTTCTACTCTGAAGAGAAAACCCAACAAAATTCAAAGAATATATATAACTTTTATGAGTGTGGGTATGAATACAGGATTATTCTGGATAGAATTATATAAATTTAACTGTTTTGATAAGTAACAGCTTTAGTGTAAATTCAAGCCCCATGCTTGTCACTTGTCTATTGCTGGAGATGATATGTTAGGTCATTAGATACTGTCTCATTGACCTCTACCACATATCTCCTTTCAATTATAAATAAGTTTGGATATGATACTATTTCAGAGCAGCCATTGGTGTTATCTCCCTTAATTACCATGTTGGAGGTCACATTAGTTGATTTTCTCATTTGACTAACCAGATTAAAGCTAGACCTGTCTGCATAGTGAGACTTATACCCCCAGTACAAGCATTTTAGCTAATTCTTTGAAAATCAGTTTTGAGAAAATGACATTTTCAGATTTCTGACTTTCAGCATAGAGGTCAAAGGTCTAGGTCATAATCAGAGTGACCTTATTTTGGTATTTGATACATCCCCATCCCATGATGCTTCTGCAAACAAAGCTTGTCAATCTAAGTGCTACAGAAAAACATTATGCATCCTACACAAATCAGAATTTTTTTTTAAATCATAGGGGTCAAAGTTAAAAGTCAAACTCAGTATGATGCTTATGAGATCTACAGTAAGTCATTTTGATTATATGGTAATGTTTGGTTGCAGACTAATCAACTTTTACCCAGCATCACTGAATATCTACCTTGGTAATCCATTGACGTCCTCCAGTCTTTTCAATCTCTGTAACATTTCCTCTCTGTAATTAGAGCACAAGTTATATAATTAATTGTCAAAGAGCATATTAATAAGCATCTGTTTTTACACACAGTCATGGTTACGAATTTATGGATACATGCTGAAACTATAACTTCCTTTTAAACCATAATGATTAACAAATTTCTGCAATAATACACATGTTCAAATTTCCCCGAGCATTAAAAAAAAAATTAAATTTGAATGCTGATACTGACACATAACTTCTACATTTTACCAATTAATTAAATTCTTTTGACTATTCATTATTAAATGTAAAAAAATATATATATATAATGTCCTTTCTATTACACAATATCAAATTCATACATACATTTAAAAACTCACATGTACTACTCTGTGTCACAAAGATACCAAATTCATATGATGGTATAGATAACTCATTCATTTAAACAGCTCAGAAATAAAAAAAATTATTTGAGAAATTTTCTTATATTAGGGCAACAAATGAAAATGCCTACAATTGAACATTCCTTATTTGGTCAGACGTTAAAAATACCTATTCTAGTCAATACCAGGGGTATTATATAGAAGTAAAATACCAGGGGTATTATATAGAAGTAAAATACCTACGATGGACCATTTCCTCCATCCCCATATCCAAACAGGAAAACACTTTTACTAGACCTGCCTTTATCTTTATAATTCTTTATTGTTCTTACCACCTAAAAATAAAAAAGATTGATTGATTGATTATTGATTGCTTAATGCCCATTCAGCTTTAAAAAAAAAGTGAAAAAGAAGATTCGATGAAATGATATATTTATCAATCTCATTTGGGACATTTAAACAATATTACTGTTAATAATCTAACATGGAATGGTAATGTGATTTATCTTACCTCCTATACATTTCTAGGAATATGATTGGTTAAAAGCAACCGCGTTTAGACCGTGTATATTCCATATGGGGTTAGTAGACGTGGTTTATTTCAATACATGGTTAGAATTATTTGTTCGAGCATTTATATGCCATATTTCAAAACCAATTGCAAAACACAAAATAAAACAAAGAAAATAGCTACCCATATGCATCATACTAGTTAAGTGTCTCCTTTTTAGCAATTAGGAGGGTTAAAACATTCAGGAATACTCACAACTCTTCTTTAAAATAATGTTAGTTATAGTCTGCAATTCCTCTGATGTCTCAAAACTTATATTGATTAATTGATTGATTGGTGTTTAATGCCACTTTCAGCACTAATGGTTGACTCCAGTCTTAGGCTAGGATTATCAGTTTTCCTGCCAAAGATTGGTGGTTCTCTCAGTCAGTTAATTTGTGACAGTCAGTTTTTATTGGTGGAGGATGAAAGAGTGCCCGGAGAGAACCACCAATCTTTGGCAGGAAAACTGATAGTCCTAGCCTAAGACTGGAGTCAACCAGACCTGCCATGTGCTTGGTTTGAATTCACAACCTCAGTGTTTACACACAAGTAATACAGTAGTTTGACTACTTAGACCACTCGGCCAATGAGGCCCCATAAAAACTTATACTGTGAAAGTACTTCTATTCGTGGGGCACCAATTTTCATGGTTTTCATGGATGGTTTTATCCACAAATTTAAGTGACCAATGACATATAACAACTGTTGTCCAAATCAAGACATGGAAAGATCCCCATGTAGGTTTGACTACACAGATATGGGCATATTAGCTAGAGAATACATTGGATATCAGCAAACGCACTATGAATAATATATACACAACTTTAGACAGGATTTTATCCATTTAATCTTTAAAAAACCTAACTGTACGACTTTTAACCTTTAAACTTTTAATTCTCATGAAAAATTAGTTTTGATCAATGAAAGTCAGACTTCTGGTGATGATATATGCGATGATGTTCAAAGTGTTCATTTTATATGCGATAATAAAGTGTGCATTTTATCTCTTGATAATTCTCATACGAAAAAAAATAATTTCATATCTGGTTTGCTTCATAAGAATTAATTCTACAATTCAAAGTACATTTGTAGCATTTTTCAGGTAACCCTTTTCTTTAAGTGACATGTTTATGGCCCAATTAACACCTTTGGTGATGGTTAATCTGTTGATCATTCGAACTCAGGTTAATTAGTGTCATGACTTCTGATTACACATGTGGAACAATTAAAATGTTTTTACTTTGTAATATCTTTCAATCAAAATAATTTGTAAGCATAGATGAATCAGTAAGTGAAAATGAACATCTTTTTTTACAACATCCCCCAAATCATTATAAAACAGCATAGTTTTTGATGGCTTCAAATTCTTCATTTGATTAGTTTCAGAAAACTAAAATCCATGAATTTAAGAACCCACGAACATGTAACTTTTGCTCAAACCACGAAAATTGATACCCACGAATAAAAGTACTTTCACAGTACCTTTATTTAGCTAGAGTTGTGCAGTCAAGAGGAATCTAAATATTAAACCTGATAATGGAAGACCAAGACTCAGTGGCGATATTTTGCATTGAGCTTTTGTTCTTAGGCCTTGGTCTCTTTTATGGTCTGAACTTTTTAACTCAGGAATGTGCATTTCCTGTGCGTACTGTTGTGCGTTTGTTTTTTCTACATTGGCTAGAGGTATAGGGGGAGGGTTGAGATCTCAAAAAACATGTTTAACCCCGCCGCATTTTTTGCGCCTGTCCCAAGTCAGGAGCCTCTGGCCTTTGTTAGTCTTGTATCATTTTTAATTTTAGTTTCCTGTGTATAATTTGGAGTTTAGTATGACATCCTACACTGAACTAGTATACATATTTGTTTAGGGGCCAGCTGAAGGACGCCTCCGGGTGCGGGAGTTTCTCCCTGCATTGAAGACCCATTGGTGGCCTTCGGCTGTTGTCTGCTCTATGGTCGGGTTGTTGTCTCTTTGACACATTCCCCATTTCCATTCTCAATTTTATGTAAATAAGTAAATTGTGATGAAATTTTTGTAAGTAATCAGGGTTATTCTATTTCAACATAGCTTTTACCCCTACTAAGTATGAGATTTTTCTGTCAAACAATCTCAGAGGAGTTGAGTTCACATGAGGGAGTTCACATGAGGGATGGACAGACTGATTACTATATGCCTTCTGTCAGCCAATTGGTGGAACCCTTGTCAATCTTACCTCTTCTACATGTCCTTTCATCTCATAAGAATCTCCAGGGGGGAAATGAGTCAGAACTCTTGAACCATCAATTCCTTCCCACATGAATGTATGATGCTAAAATAAATAAAATATTTTAAGAATCTATAAAATTTCTATCTAGAAATTTGATTTTTTTCAGCTACACTAATTAATACCAGAATTGTGTGAATGTAAAACAAAAGACTGTCCCATAAACTTAGTACTTTGCAGAGGTAATCAGTTGGCCAGGGGATAAACCAAAACCTTGATAATCTTTTTGGTCATAAATTTCCTTCATTCATATGGGTCAATATCCCTAATGTGCCTCAAATGAGGAACACAACTATAAATAGAAATAAAAAAATCTTTGTGTAGTGATATTAGACATGGTGCTATTTTGAATAGCTGACTGAGCTTTATAACCATTTGCTTTAGAAAAGCAGAAGACCATAGAATAAAGATATAAAAATTATGGAGTTAATTATTTCCAGGAAATTAAATTGTGTGAAAATAGGGATTTTTTTCCCTTGTTGAAGCTGCATCACACAAGCATCGTTGAAATTAACTGAAAATCTTTTCACACTTTGTACCTGAAGATTAAATCACATGTGTGAAAATGTCTCAGCTAGTTAAGGAGCCAATTTACCTATCCAATTTTACAATAAAGACAGAGTAATTGAAGAAAATGTTAATATTACTGTCTACCTGAAATGAATTGCGCATATTGACCCATATGTGCACCAATGAATAACTTACAAATGTATAAAGCTCACTAATGTTAGCAAATACAAAGTCTTATTTCTATGTTAATATAAAGGAATTTATAATATAACCATGATAGCTGTTGAATATTTTTAACTATTTGTGCTGGGTATATTTTCCTGTGCATTTTTAATAAGTGATCATAGAATAAGTGAAAATTACCCCTGCGAAAATTTTTCTACACTTCCAATATTACCAAATTATTCAATAATATGCAGATATCACAATAAAAGAGAAATATTTATCACCATGCAAGATTAAAAACATGTACCTACAGGAAATTTGTTGAACAAACTCCAGCTGAGTTTCTGTGTCAAAAATCTGTTAATACCACAGGTTTTCATGATCTGGGGAAGCTGTGCTGAATAACCAAATGTATCCGGCAACCAAAACTATAACAAGATATTTTACAATTTATAAATATAATCACTGTCAGTTATGTTCCAAGTTCAAGATTAAAAGGTTATTCTATATTATTTTAAGGAAGAAATGCTTAAAAAATTTTTAGTTTTCTACCTGTTAACCTGTCTTATTTGACTTATCACAAACTTTCACCAATGTTCTTATTTTTTCTATCAAATGATGGGTAAATTATAAAATAAACCTATACACAAATGCTTCTTTGTACAGTCATTTGCTCTCATAATGCTTCTTTAAACAGTCATTTGTTAGCATTATGATTCTTTGTACAGTCATTTGTTCATATCGTGCTTCTTTGTACAGTCATTTGCTCTCATAATGCTTCTTTGGACAGCCATTTGTTCTCATTATGATTCCTTGTACAGTCATTTGTTCATATTATGCTTCTTTGTACAGTCATTTGTTCATATCATGCTTCTTTGTACAGTCATTTGCTCTCATAATGCTTCTTTGTACAGTCATTTGATCGTACCATGGTTCTTTGTACAGTCATTTGTTCTCATTATGTTCCAGTTATCCCAATACTAAAGGTAAACAGTATGTTACATTACAAATGCTGTAGATAAATAGCTATTAATAAAAGGACCATTGAGAGATTGGTTAATGGGGGCTATATGTCAAGCAACATATACTACAGGCATAGTCAAGACAATCACATAAATAACTACTTGTACTAGACCAACATGCTGAGCCAAATTTTTAGCATGCTAGTTCATAAGGCAACACAAAGAATTTTCATTTAACCAGGACACACTACTCTTGACCACGAATCTACAAGTCTTGCTGTAACTCCTTATGTGGAAACATACCTAAACAAGCAGCAAGTACCAGATATTAAGTCTTTGGTTTGGAATATTACCTGCATGCTTATCCGTTGCAGGGATCATGCTTTTATGAGACAATGAAGATAGTATACATTAGTTGAGTAATCTGTATTTACTTACCTCTTTACATTGCACATTAAATTCTTCTTTGAAAAACTTTTGTCCATATAAAAATTGTCTTATAAATGCTTCACCACTTGGCAGGTTTCCGTCCTATAAAAAAGAAGTTCACATTCCAGAACTTTAAACAATATGATGCAGGCTGAAAATTTTGTCTATCAAGCCTGTTTCAATTAACAACATACCAATGAAACGCTTCAACTTGTAGCACTCACAAATTATAGACATCACTGAATTAAAAAATAAACAGAAAGGGTTGATTTTAAAATTGAATCTGATGAATTATATTAATATGAATAATCTAATATTTCAACATCAACCTAGCTAGATGAGTTCTCAGATGTCCAAAACAAAATCAAAAAAGTTTTATTACATAAATGATAAAGTATAGACATACAATTTTACACTTTTAAGACATTAAATTATTAAACTGTAAAAGGTATACAACATTTTTTTTTCAGTTAAATAGGTATAGTTTCAGTATTAATCTGTTTTAATCACCATGGAAACCTACCATCTCAACCCATGTTCCACCAACTGGAATAAACTGCCCAGACTTGACTAACTGTTTAATCTTCTGGTATAATTTTGGGTAGTGTTCTTTCACCCAAGAATATTGCTGAGCCTGAAATATCAAAAACATGCATTATCAAAATTACATTTACTTTTCATTCAATCAAGACAGGAAAAAAAGTGTGATTCGGAAAGAATGTGGAAAGCGCAATTTCATACACAGAGTCTGTGATGGCTAGTAATTTTTATCATAGTTTATATGAAATGGTGGATTCAGGTAAAACTGAAAGGTTAAAGATTATTCCTGTTTGTGCCTAGATACAAAATATAAGGAATAGTTATTGAATGAATTATGCAGTTATTTTACCATGGCAGCTTAAACTCTCTTTTAAATCGAAAAAAAGGAAATATAAATCAGTATTCAGATAGCTTCTTCCTCATGAACTTTGCACATTGTAGAAGGCCATACAGTGACATCTACATCATTTGAACTCTGGTGGATAGTTGTCTCATTTGCAATCTACATCTTCCTTATTTTCGATAAAGATGATTTCAATATATTTTAGCCTTCATAAATTCACAATCACAATAAACAGAATTCAAAAGTAAAGTGAGAATATGGCCATAATTAAGGCTGGGTAAGAGACAGACTATTTAAACCTGTAGGATTGTACATGTGTAGGAAAATGTATGACTAGAGCATACATACAAAATATCTATACATATCTGAGTGTCAATCACTGAGGGCTTAATATTTAACCTATGAATTTCTTCTTTTAGTAATTTCGGATTTCTATCTCAACAATAAAATTGAGAATGGAAATGGGGAATATGTCAAAGAGACAACAACCCGACCAAAGAGCAGACAACATGTATTATGGGTACTCAACAAATCAGATCCCCCCACATATGGTTTAGATAAGAGTATTTTGTCATTGGAGAAAACGAAGGCATTAGTTTTCCTGCCAAAAGGCCTGTGATTCTCTCTAGAGGGTACTCTGGCTTTATCTACAAATAGAAATTGTAAGAATGGATTGACGTCTTGATTGAATTGTATTCAATATATGGACATCTAGTTCTCATTTTGTTTTTTTTTTCTTTTTCTTTTAAAGTTGTGGTCTCATTGACTTATATCCCACATCTCCTTTTATCCCATTTAAAATATCATAAGTAAATAATTAATCCAGGAAGTAGTTTACCTGAGAACAAGTAAATGTAAAATTTGGATATTTTTCCATCAGCTGTACAGTACAGGACCAACTTCTAGCACATTTCCTGATAGTTTCTGCATAGGGCCATAACCAAGCTGTAAAACAGTATCAGTTAGGTTATTCAAATGATTCGAAATTGTTTGTTTATTTTGTACCACTACAAAATCAAAGTTATCAATTTTGGAAATTTTAAACAACTATGTTTTCATAATAAATGTTCATTTTTTTTGGACATAAATAGTATTCAAACTTCAAAGGATGCATATGAAAAGTTTTTTTTTTTTTTACAAGTTCAGGATATTTTTAAAGGGAAAAAGAAGTTTAAATTTCAAATTATGGAATTTGTAAAACATTTCATGACAACTATTAATGCAAAAGCCCAGTGCAATAAGACTAAAAACCTTAACATTAACTTAAGAATGCCTAATGAATTAAGAATAATTAATGTAAATTCAGAAATTATTGCGAGATTTTTATTAATGCGAAAAAGGTGACTGGTTGAGTACTGTAATAATAAGAACTCGCATTCTAAATTTGATATATAAATCTGTATGCAGAGTTTCCTTAAATTGCAATAAATAATCTTGCATTTTCGTTCATTTTTGAAAAATCGCAATAATAAATGCACGCAATACAGTACCTGGTATTCATAAGATTCAATATTTTAAACACTGAGTAGAAGTTTTCACATAATTCGGGTGGAGGATCATGGAGGGAGGCTATTTACTATGAATAAAACCCAAATTATTTCTTTGGAAAACACTTATGGCTTTCTTTTACTTTATCAATGTCAAATTTTAATAGCATGTCTATACTATTTTCTGTGGTTAAAATATTTCTGTTTGGCATACCTGAGTCTATATGAGCATGTCCCATAGCATGAACTGTATGATGACCTTCCCCATTGCCTTGTTGCAAAAACTTCTCAGCCATTGCATGAGCTCTGAAAATATTTTTAATAAAAAAATAATTCCATTAGGTATATGTTTCATTAATTTGCATAAAGGAAATCAAATGCCTAAAATGTTTATTCTTCAAAACCATGTTAAGCAAAAAATACATGACAAAAATTAAACGCTTTAACAACAATAGGTCCTTTCACGGTTATTGCAGCCATCATGGCCATGTTGAATAGGGGGCAGATTTTCATAATGGAGGTAAAAATGATTTAAAAAATACAGGAAAAAATCATTGAAACAGAACAGTTGCTTGGAAACATGCATAGGATTTCCCGTACTTTCATACTATTTCCACTTCTATCCCAAAAAACCTATTCAATATGGCTGCAATAACTGTGAAGTGGCTTATGCTGACTGCATAATATTTTTTTCAAATCAGAATACCTAAATTGTCCATTCATTTTAAATTTTATCAGAATGAAATTCATCTGTTTTGGTAGTTTAAACAGTTGTAAAAGAAAAAATACACAACAAATACTATATCACCAAAATACGTACCCATCTGTTTTTCTTAAAACGAAAAAAAATCATAACATTACAGTTAAAATTAGCTTACCTGGAATAGCTATCCTTGTCATCCAAGTTTATTGTATTGATCATATCATTGACAGTATACAGCGCCATATAGCCCCTTTCTGAATCTTCAGGTAGATGCTGTAATTTTATATTTAATCACGATAAATATGTGTATGTTTATTGAATAGGGGGCAGATTTTCATAATGGAGGTAAAAATGATTTGAAAAATACAGGAAAAAATCATTGAAACAGAACAGTTGTTTGGAAACATGCATAGGATTTCCCGTACTTTCATACTATTTCCACTTCTATCCCAAAAAACCTATTCAATATGGCTGCAATAACTGTGAATTGGCTTATGCTGACTGCATAATATTTTTTTCAAATCAGAATACCTAAATTGTCCATTCATGTATGCTTGTAACACATTCTTAATTTTGAATACTGTCTGTTGCCCTCTAGATGTCTTTTGGTTATTTGTGTCAATGGGTCACTGTCTCATTGATATGTACTGTAAATCTTCATTTATTATAAGATTAAACACAGGTTATTGATATGTAAACTTGTAGAATGCACTCACAAACTGAATAAAAGTCCACAAGTCATTAGCTAAGTTTATAAACATTAACAACCTCTAGAAAAAATGTGTTTAATCCTAAAAAAATAAACCCAAACATTTTTTCTTAAAATTTCACCTTTCTGGGAAACCGAATGAATATATCACAGAGTGGTTACATAGGTAATGTAGATAGTTCTGACAACATGGTCTATTGGAAAACCAAGAAAAGAAATTGTAATCGACCAATCACATTCAAGTTTTTGTAGAGATGCAAATAATATAAGAATTATTTATATCTAATTAAAGTAATGATATATAAAAGGAATTTCCAAAAATATGGTACCTTACAACATCTCACACCAACACCTGAGAATATTTAAATGATTGCTTGTTTATAAGATTTTGTATTTAATCTATATTAAACTAATCTAGTTTATTATATGGCAAATAACTTTAATTTCAGAAATTTTTGTAAAGAAAATTTTTTTCAAAAAGCTTTTAATATTCAGGCCTGTAGCCTGGATGTCTAAGAGCAGGGTTCTTTGTGGTCAACAAGCTCTGACTTTAATCTGAATCTCCACTATTTTAACATACATTTACAATTCTGTGTTAACTTAACATACTGTAACAATCTGAAATGACTACAATATTTTTATAATTTTGGAATGACTCCTGTCCTGTGGTATTTCTGTAATGCCTACAGTACATTGATCATTCAAGAAGTCACACTAAAATCCCTACTATATCATTTTAACAGTCAGATGAAATTGGTCCTTCTGACGTGAAAAATTTGACTACATGTATCCCAACTATTATCAAACAATGATACATGTTTGGTTATTACCTTTGCCATGTCATGGAGTGTTTCAATATCTAGTATCAGTTCGAAGACATCTCGATCAAACACGGAGATTTCTGCCTGTGACAAAGTGAATGTCTTATCTGGCACTGGTGGATTAATCAGACCATTCCCTGCTCCAAATAATGTATTGCAGGCCATTTCTACATACAGTTTATACCTAAATCAGAAAACAAAATAAATAACCCAAATGTTTACTGTAAATTCAGAAATTATTGCGAGCTTTTTATTAATGCGAATAATGGGACTCCTTTAGTATAGCAATAATAAGAACTCTCATTCTGATATCTGGTACATATATCTGTGTGTAACTTTTCCTAAAATCGCAATAATTAATCTCACATCTTTGTTCATGCTTCAAAAATCGCATGAAAATTTAGGAGTTTGGGTACATAAAACTTATGCAAAAAAAATCTACCAAGAAAAGTAAATTCATAATTTACCTGTTACATAATTATTTTGATTGTATGGTTGGTTGATACTGAAAAAGACATCTTTCTGATTTTCCCCCCAATTTAGCCCCCAATTATAGGGATTTTCTCAATGTTTGTGTTTAAGAAAATCTATGCACACGGATGACAAACAGCTCAATTTATTGTAATGAACTTACCTATTTTTCCCATCAACCTTTGCTTGATTCAATGGAAAAGAGGTTCTCTTAAATGCTACGCTTAATCCCTGAAAGAAAAGAACTCTATTTACGAAATTGCAAGAAATTATAAGCCACTTCCATTTGTAAATTTTTGATACCAGCATAATAGACAACAAAACAAATTAAAAAATGTGGATAGTGTCCATATGTGGACACAGATGATGCCCCCGCTTGCATATCATATAGTTATAAAGGAACATAACTGAAGAACGGTAAAAGTGACGCTACCCAAATTTGAACTTGATCTGAGTTTTGTGGTAATAAGCATTGTGTATAAGTTTCATAACATTTGGTTGAGGCTAACTTAAGTAGAGAACAGAAACTAAAAATTCAGCAATTTTTCTATTTGTAAACACGCATAACTCTAGAACAGTTGTGTATAAGTTTTATAACATTTGGTTGAGACAAACTAAAATATTCAGCAATTTTTATGTTTATAAAGGGACATAACTCAAGAATGGTAAAAGTGTCGCCACCAAATTTCGTATTTAATCTGTATTATGTAGTAATAAGCATTGTGTATAAGTTTCATAACATTTGGTTGAGGCAAACTAAAGTTAGAAAACAGAAACAAAAAATTTGTACTTGATCTTAGTTTTGTGGTAATGAATATTGTGTATAGGTTTCATAATGTTTGGTTTGGGCAAACTTAAGTTACAGAATGGAAACTAAAAATTTTGCAATCTTTCGATATATAAAGGGGCATAACTCAATAATGGTTAAAGTGACACTACCCAAATTCAACTTGATCTGTGTTTTATCAGTGGAAGTCAAAATTAAACATTGCATTGTATAAAGCATTGATTGTAGATGATTCAACTATAATCATGGACAAAGGAAGATAACTCCAAAATGAAAATTACTTGATATTTAGAAGAAAACAAGAGTGCACACGCTGAAATGTCTCGCCTTCTTTACTAATCATTGATATTATGCTGATAGTCCTAAATATAAAGCTTTACTACAACTATCACATACACTTAACATGATCCAAGAAAATGAGGTCAAGGTCATATAAACCAAACAAGAAATACATGTACACCTTACAATCATTCAATACACTAAATATAGTTGACCTATTGTTTATAGTTTCTAAGATACAGACTTAACCAAGAAAACTAAACATTGACCAATGAACCAAGAAAATGAGGTCAAGGTCAGATGAACAATGCCAGGCAGACATGTACTACAGCTTGCAATCCTTCCATACAACAAATATAGTTGACCTATTGCTTATAGAATTAGAAAAACAGACCAAAACACAAAAACTTAACACTGAGCAATGAACCGTAAAAATGAGGTCAAGGTCAAATAAAACCTGCAAGACTGACAGGTACATCATAAAATATTTCCATACACCAAATATAGATGACCTATTGCATATAGTATTAGAAAAAAAGACCAAAACTCAAAAACTTAACTTTGACCACTGAACCATGAAAATGAGGTCAAGGTCAGAAGACACCTACCAGCTAGACATGTACACCTTACAATCATTCCATACACCAAATATAGTAGACCTATGGCATACAGTATAAGAAAAACAGACTAAAACACAAAAACTTAACTATAACCACTGAACCATGAAAATGAGGTCAAGGTCAGATGACACCTGCCAGTTGGACATGTACACCTTACAGTCCTTCCATACACCGAATATACTAGACCTATTGCTTATAGTATCTGAGATATGGACTTGACCACCAAAACTTAACCTTGTTCATTGATCCATGAAATGAGGTCGAGGTCAAGTGAAAACTGTGTGACGGGCATGAGGACCTTGCAAGGTACGCACATACCAAATATAGTTGAACTATTGCATATAGTATTAGAAAAAAAGACCAAAACTCAAAAACTTAACTTTGACCACTGAACCATGAAAATGAGGTCAAGATCAGATGACACCTGCCCGCTAGACATGTACACCTTACAATCATTCCATACACCAAATATAGTAGACCTATGGCATACAGTATAAGAAAAACAGACTAAAACACAAAAACTTAACTATAACCACTGAACCATGAAAATGAGGTCAAGGACAGATGACACCTGCCAGTTGGACATGTACACCTTACAGTCCTTCCATACACCGAATATACTAGACCTATTGCTTATAGTATCTGAGATATGGACTTGACCACCAAAACTTAACCTTGTTCACTGATCCATGAAATGAGGTCGAGGTCAAGTGAAAACTGTCTGACGGGCATGAGGACCTTGCAAGGTACGCACATACCAAATATAGTTATCCTAGTACTTATAATAAGAGAGAATCTAACATTACAAAAAATCTTAACTTTTTTTTCAAGTAGTCACTGAACCATGAAAATGAGGTCAAGGACATTGGACATGTGACTGACGGAAACTTCGTAACATGAGGCATCCATATACAAAGTATGAAGCATCCAGACCTTCCACCTTCTAAAATATAAAGCTTTTAAGAAGTTAGCTAATGCAGCCGCCCCCGCTGCCGCCGGATCACTATCCCTATGTTGAGCTTTCTGCGACAAAAGTCGCAGGCTCGACAATAAAAATTTTGTAATTTTTCCATTTATAAAGGGGCATAACTCTAGAACAGGTAAAGTGACGAAACCAAAATTCAAACTTGATCTGTGTTATGTGGTAATAAGCATTGTGTATAAGTTTCATAACATTTGGTTGAGGCTAACTTAAGTAGAGAACAGAAACTAAAAATTCAGCAATTTTTCTATTTGTAAACACGCATAACTCTAGAACAGTTGTGTATAAGTTTTATAACATTTGGTTGAGACAAACTAAAATATTCAGCAATTTTTATGTTTATAAAGGGACATAACTCAAGAATGGTAAAAGTGTCGCCACCAAATTTTGTATTTAATCTGTATTATGTAGTAATAAGCATTGTGTATAAGTTTCATAACATTTGGTTGAGGCAAACTAAAGTTAGAAAACAGAAACAAAAAATTTGTACTTGATCTTAGTTTTGTGGTTATGAATATTGTGTATAGGTTTCATAATGTTTGGTTTGGGCAAACTTAAGTTACAGAATGGAAACTAAAAATTTTGCAATCTTTCGATATATAAAGGGGCATAACTCAATAATGGTTAAAGTGACACTACCAAAATTCAACTTGATCTGTGTTTTATCAGTGGAAGTCAAAATTAAACATTGCATTGTATAAAGCATTGATTGTAGATGATTCAACTATAATCATGGACAAAGGAAGATAACTCCAAAATGAAAATTACTTGATATTAAGAAGAAAATAAAAATTTTGTAATTTTTCCATTTATAAAGGGGCATAACTCTAGAACAGGTAAAGTGACGAAACCAAAATTCAAACTTGATCTGTGTTATGTGGTAATAAGCATTGTGTATAAGTTTCATAACATTTGGTTGAGGCTAACTTAAGTAGAGAACAGAAACTAAAATTTCAGCAATTTTTCTATTTGTAAACACGCATAACTCTAGAACAGTTGTGTATAAGTTTTATAACATTTGGTTGAGACAAACTAAAAAATTCAGCAATTTTTATGTTTATAAAGGGACATAACTCAAGAATGGTAAAAGTGTCGCCACCAAATTTCGTATTTAATCTGTATTATGTAGTAATAAGCATTGTGTATAAGTTTCATAACATTTGGTTGAGGCAAACTAAAGTTAGAAAACAGAAACAAAAAATTTGTACTTGATCTTAGTTTTGTGGTAATGAATATTGTGTATAGGTTTCATAATGTTTGGTTTGGGCAAACTTAAGTTACAGAATGGAAACTAAAAATTTTGCAATCTTTCGATATATAAAGGGGCATAACTCAATAATGGTTAAAGTGACACTACCCAAATTCAACTTGATCTGTGTTTTATCAGTGGAAGTCAAAATTAAACATTGCATTGTATAAAGCATTGATTGTAGATGATTCAACTATAATCATGGACAAAGGAAGATAACTCCAAAATGAAAATTACTTGATATTTAGAAGAAAATAAAAATTTTGTAATTTTTCCATTTATAAAGGGGCATAACTCTAGAACAGGTAAAGTGACGAAACCAAAATTCAAACTTGATCTGTGTTATGTGGTAATAAGCATTGTGTATAAGTTTCATAACATTTGGTTGAGGCTAACTTAAGTAGAGAACAGAAACTAAAAATTCAGCAATTTTTCTATTTGTAAACACGCATAACTCTAGAACAGTTGTGTATAAGTTTTATAACATTTGGTTGAGACAAACTAAAAAATTCAGCAATTTTTATGTTTATAAAGGGACATAACTCAAGAATGGTAAAAGTGTCGCCACCAAATTTCGTATTTAATCTGTATTATGTAGTAATAAGCATTGTGTATAAGTTTCATAACATTTGGTTGAGGCAAACTAAAGTTAGAAAACAGAAACAAAAAATTTGTACTTGATCTTAGTTTTGTGGTAATGAATATTGTGTATAGGTTTCATAATGTTTGGTTTGAGCAAACTTAAGTTACAGAATGGAAACTAAAAATTTTGCAATCTTTCGATATATAAAGGGGCATAACTCAATAATGGTTAAAGTGACACTACCCAAATTCAACTTGATCTGTGTTTTATCAGTGGAAGTCAAAATTAAACATTGCATTGTATAAAGCATTGATTGTAGATGATTCAACTATAATCATGGACAAAGGAAGATAACTCCAAAATGAAAATCACTTGATATTTAGAAGAAAATAATAAATTTTGTAATTTTTCCATTTATAAAGGGGCATAACTCTAGAACGGGTAAAGTGACGAAACCAAAATTCAAACTTGATCTGTGTTATGTGGTAATAAGCATTGTGTATAAGTTTCATAACATTTGGTTGAGGCTAACTTAAGTTACAGAACGGAAACTAAAAATTTTGCCATTTTTCCATTCATAAAGGGGCATAACTCTAGAACGGTTACAGTGACGCCACCAAAATTCAAACTTGATCTGTGTTTTGTGGAAATAAGCATTGTGTATAAGTTTCATAACATTGGGTTGAGGCAAACTCAAGTTACAGAACGGAAACTAAATATTTTGCAATTTTTCCATTTGTAAAGGGGCATAACTCTAGAACAGTTAAAGTGACGCCACCAAAATTCACACTTGATCTGTGTTTTGTGGAAATAAGCATTGTGTATAAGTTTCATAACATTTGGTTGAGGCAAACTAAAGTTAGAAAACAGAAACAAAAAATTTGTACTTGATCTTAGTTTTGTGGTAATGAATATTGTGTATAGGTTTCATAATGTTTGGTTTGAGCAAACTTAAGTTACAGAATGGAAACTAAAAATTTTGCAATCTTTCGATATATAAAGGGGCATAACTCAATAATGGTTAAAGTGACACTACCAAAATTCAACTTGATCTGTGTTTTATCAGTGGAAGTCAAAATTAAACATTGCATTGTATAAAGCATTGATTGTAGATGATTCAACTATAATCATGGACAAAGGAAGATAACTCCAAAATGAAAATTACTTGATATTAAGAAGAAAATAAAAATTTTGTAATTTTTCCATTTATAAAGGGGCATAACTCTAGAACAGGTAAAGTGACGAAACCAAAATTCAAACTTGATCTGTGTTATGTGGTAATAAGCATTGTGTATAAGTTTCATAACATTTGGTTGAGGCTAACTTAAGTAGAGAACAGAAACTAAAATTTCAGCAATTTTTCTATTTGTAAACACGCATAACTCTAGAACAGTTGTGTATAAGTTTTATAACATTTGGTTGAGACAAACTAAAAAATTCAGCAATTTTTATGTTTATAAAGGGACATAACTCAAGAATGGTAAAAGTGTCGCCACCAAATTTCGTATTTAATCTGTATTATGTAGTAATAAGCATTGTGTATAAGTTTCATAACATTTGGTTGAGGCAAACTAAAGTTAGAAAACAGAAACAAAAAATTTGTACTTGATCTTAGTTTTGTGGTAATGAATATTGTGTATAGGTTTCATAATGTTTGGTTTGGGCAAACTTAAGTTACAGAATGGAAACTAAAAATTTTGCAATCTTTCGATATATAAAGGGGCATAACTCAATAATGGTTAAAGTGACACTACCCAAATTCAACTTGATCTGTGTTTTATCAGTGGAAGTCAAAATTAAACATTGCATTGTATAAAGCATTGATTGTAGATGATTCAACTATAATCATGGACAAAGGAAGATAACTCCAAAATGAAAATTACTTGATATTTAGAAGAAAATAAAAATTTTGTAATTTTTCCATTTATAAAGGGGCATAACTCTAGAACAGGTAAAGTGACGAAACCAAAATTCAAACTTGATCTGTGTTATGTGGTAATAAGCATTGTGTATAAGTTTCATAACATTTGGTTGAGGCTAACTTAAGTAGAGAACAGAAACTAAAAATTCAGCAATTTTTCTATTTGTAAACACGCATAACTCTAGAACAGTTGTGTATAAGTTTTATAACATTTGGTTGAGACAAACTAAAAAATTCAGCAATTTTTATGTTTATAAAGGGACATAACTCAAGAATGGTAAAAGTGTCGCCACCAAATTTCGTATTTAATCTGTATTATGTAGTAATAAGCATTGTGTATAAGTTTCATAACATTTGGTTGAGGCAAACTAAAGTTAGAAAACAGAAACAAAAAATTTGTACTTGATCTTAGTTTTGTGGTAATGAATATTGTGTATAGGTTTCATAATGTTTGGTTTGAGCAAACTTAAGTTACAGAATGGAAACTAAAAATTTTGCAATCTTTCGATATATAAAGGGGCATAACTCAATAATGGTTAAAGTGACACTACCCAAATTCAACTTGATCTGTGTTTTATCAGTGGAAGTCAAAATTAAACATTGCATTGTATAAAGCATTGATTGTAGATGATTCAACTATAATCATGGACAAAGGAAGATAACTCCAAAATGAAAATCACTTGATATTTAGAAGAAAATAATAAATTTTGTAATTTTTCCATTTATAAAGGGGCATAACTCTAGAACGGGTAAAGTGACGAAACCAAAATTCAAACTTGATCTGTGTTATGTGGTAATAAGCATTGTGTATAAGTTTCATAACATTTGGTTGAGGCTAACTTAAGTTACAGAACGGAAACTAAAAATTTTGCCATTTTTCCATTCATAAAGGGGCATAACTCTAGAACGGTTACAGTGACGCCACCAAAATTCAAACTTGATCTGTGTTTTGTGGAAATAAGCATTGTGTATAAGTTTCATAACATTGGGTTGAGGCAAACTCAAGTTACAGAACGGAAACTAAATATTTTGCAATTTTTCCATTTGTAAAGGGGCATAACTCTAGAACAGTTAAAGTGACGCCACCAAAATTCACACTTGATCTGTGTTTTGTGGAAATAAGCATTGTGTATAAGTTTCATAACATTTGGTTGAAGCAAACTCAAGTTAGAGAACGGAAACCAATTTTGGGACGGACGTACGTACAGACGGACAAGGGTTAAACTTAATGCCCCCACCGCTACGGCTTGGGCATAAAAAGTTCATCACAAAACGAAATTAACCCTCCTAGATGTTTATATGATAGAGAAACAAAAGATATAGGGTATCCATCCATGACACAAAATCAGTACATGCACAGCAAAAAAAACCAACAAAAAGCAAAGGAACAGTGCTTTTATTGCTGTTCTTCATCTCAAAGTCACATTGAGGCCTTCAAAATGGAGCATATGTCAATCCAACGACAGGAAAATTGTAACAGCTTAATTGTGGCTTTCTCTACAGTCTTGTCTATGTACAGAGTTTTTTGTTGATCAGATCTCTGACCAAAACCTGCTTAATTCATTCATCAAAACTTATCAAACATCTGAGCAATTTCAAGCTTGTAATATCATTTGGGCACTCATCAATCATTGAAGGTCAAACTTTGACCTCTAGATACACTACAGCTCAAATGGATTTTGTTGTTTCCACCTGTCCATGGTTGGAGTGTGCACAGAGTTGGCAAAACTTCTAGAAAGTCCCTTTGACCATCTTTTAGATTTGAAATGCCATTTTTTTTCTTTAATCATAAAAATTTCATCTACTTAAGACAGGAAAATTTTCAAGATTTTGAATACACTTTTTGTATTCAAATATGTGGTTGAATTAAGAGTTTGTAGAAGTGGGCTTCCCACAGTGGTCACATGCAAATAAAAAAATCCACATGGACTGTAGTGTATCAGTATTCCTGGTAGAGTTGACTATATATGTTGTAATAAAAAATCAAAGAAATATTTACAATTTTAAATACCTCAACATTCAATAGATTCAGCAATTAGGTTATACAGATTTTTGCATATCTCTTATGAACAGATGTAACTGTGAAACAGACCTGTAATGGGCATCCATCTTGCCAAATCAAAGCTTCTGAATCAGAATTCCAGAGCAAATGAACTTCCTGTCCAGTCCATTCTAATGGAACCTCAATTTCTAGACAAAACCAGTGGGTACTCCATCTGTAAACATACAATAAATTATGAAAATTGACTCCCAAAAGAATTATAGAGAAAAAGAAATAAAAAGTTGTTTCGAAAACTAATATGAGAGGAATCAGTTGTATAAAAGTATTGGTGTTAATACAGTCAAGGGATTACATTGGTTGTTTCTCCTTTAAAATAATCTATATTTCTGAAATAATTAACTTACCCATTACTCAATATAGTAGTGACCTATAGTTGCTAATGTTCACATCCAACACCTGTTTTTTTTACAATATTGTTATGTCTCATGGTTTTTCAACAGTTTAATATTATTACGGCAGTTTAAACTTCTGGTTGTGCTTATATTTTTTTTTATCTTGGCCATCTTTTCACAAGTGATTTATGCAGATGTTCATTATTCATTTTGCTGCAAATTCTTTATGGTTCAATTGGAGCAGAACTCATATCATTAAATGCTTCATTTAATCTTTGTATCAACTTTATTCTGGGTTTTTTTTTGCTCATTTTTTTATCTATTCAAAATTACTTTTATTTTCATGACTGTTAGAAACAAGAAAACAGACATTCAACATGGTCAATGAGATTTTCATCATTTATTCAATTTTTGACAGTGTTTTTTTAAGGGTTATTCCATCAGACAAATGCTGATTACATTTTTTGGAGTTGGCTATTATGTTTTGATCTCTTTCGATCATATAGCTCCTAACATGTTCAAGAACTTATCATTCTTGTTTTTCAAATCTTTGGGTTTTAGCATTCCTGATGAAGGTAAATCCAGAAAAGCACTTCAGATGCTCAAAATTTTTATAGCTTTATTTTCTCTTCATAGACTTTCAACACTTACATGACTTAGTACTTTCAAAAATAGTATTCATAGCAAGAAGAGCTATATGACTGAAACGGTTTAAGTTTGTACTTAATGAAGGTCTTAACATACGTTGGTCCAAATGAAGATCCAACTGTCGTCTCACTAAATTTTCCTTTCATAGCTTCATCATATCCAATTCTATCTGGTGCTTTGTAATGAGTGAGCTTTTTCAGTGCTGCTTTCTTTGTGTAAAGTCTGAAAATATCAAAAGGTAAATACACTGTCAATAAATGCTTTATAATGAGTGGGCTTTGTCATTGCTGCCTTCTTTGTGTAAAGTCTGAAAATATCGAAAGGTGAAAACTCTGTCAATAAATGCTTTGTAATGAGTGAGTTTTGTCAGTGCTGCCTTCTTTGCATAAAGTCTGAAATTAGCAAGCACTGAAACACTGTCAATAAATGCTTTGAAATGAGTGAGCTTTGTCAGTTCTGCTTTGTTTGTGTAAAGTCTGAAAAAATCAAAAGGTGTAAACAGTTGTCAATAAATGCTTTGTGATGAGTGAGCTTTTTCAGTACTGCTTTGTTTGTGTAAAGTCTGAAAATATCAAAAGGTGAAAACAGTTGTCAATAAATGCTTTGTAATAAGTGAGCTTTGTCATTGCTGCTTTGTTTGTGTAAAGTCTGAAAAAATCAAAAGGTGAAAACAGTTGTCAATAAATGCTTTGTAATAAGTGAGCTTTGTCAGTGCTGCTTTGTTTGTATGAAGTCTGAGAATATCAAATCAGTGTTGACAGGCTAGTGATATAGTAGATAAATTACTAAGACCACACGGCCACCAAGGCCCAGAGTAAAAGAATAACAAATTATATCAATCACAAAATTTTGCAAGTACTAATGAAGAGCAAATAATTTTCAGATATATTGTGTTTATCTTACCTTCCTGCCAAGTTCACATCTGTAAAATAATCTTTAGAAATAAATTTCTCTGCTCTCTCCATTGTAGTTCTCTTGTGTTTCAACACTACAGTCTCCATTTTATTAAAATATTTCTCTGATTCTTACTGAAATAAGATGCTATAAGTAAGTAGATTACAAATGAAGTATACTCCAAGATAGTAGCAGAGACTGATTTGAAATCAGAGCGAAAACACACCCAAAAGGCAGATTAATCTTAAACATAAATTTTTGTAGTTTTTAGGTATTGTATTTAGATGAAAATTAGATTAATTTGAACTGCTGTAAAATATTAAATAGAAATTGTTTTATCAATATTATGTGACTACTAGCTCATCAATGGAAATGATGGAAGGATGTTGAGATCTTTTTATTAAAAAATCACATCATACATGAGTCCTCATTCAATACTAGAATTTTTGTTACAAAAAATCATATTGTATGTAGCTCATCAATGTGTTACTGTTTCTTTCATGTTTTCATATTTGCAAAAAATTGAGCTATTTCATTAATGGAGGTGATATTATTGGATGGGTGTACATGAAGTATTATTCAAAACTAAAATTATCATCAGTTAACATTTTGGATAAAAATGAGAATGGAAATGGGGAATTCTTTTTACCATCAGTTGTATTAGTTAGATCATATAGTTATTAAAAATAGAATTTGCCATAACAAATGTGAAGAAAAAAACATGGGATTTGAAATAGCACTGTTTCCCTTAAATTATACCAACTCATTAATTATACATTCTGTTAAATAATCTATATCTAAATAAAATCTACTCATGTAGCACTATGGTCATATTGCGCTATAATGTGGTGTAAAACAAAGCAATTCTGTTATGATACACCGAAAACCAAAAAGTATCACTATATGTAGAATATCTCATCTGGTTGGGTTTCTGGAATTTTTTTTTTTTTTTTTTTTTTTAGTTGCTCAGAGTTGAGACACTTGCTTTAAATCCCTGATGTGATATTCATTCTTACATAATATAAAAATAAGGACATGTGGTATGATTCATTTGCCAATGAGACAACTATCTACCAAAGTTCAAATGAAGTGGATGTAAGCAATTAAAGGCAACCGAAAATAGCCTATAACTATGAGAAAAACCCATACCGTATAGTCAGCTATAAAAGGTCCCAACATGAAAAATATTAAACAATTCAATTGAGAAAACTAACGGCTTATTCATAACAAAACAATTTATGAAAAACAAATATAACAGACATGAACCAACAGTAACCACTGAACTACAGGCTCCTGACTTGGTACTAAGTTTGTTCAAGTCCTTTGGTTTTTAAATATACATGTGTTTGTTGATATCAATTGAATGATATGTTTTCATTGGGCATGACTACCAGGTCATTTATGATCGTACAATGCTTACATCTAATTCATTTGGTCTTTGGTGGATATTTGTTTGCCATCTTTTACTTTAGGGGTCCCAACCCATACAGAGCTATACACCCAAAACCTTACCCTAACCCATACCGAACCCTAACTTATAACATCCCCTAACCTAACCATAACTATAAATAAACCCTAACCCTAAAGTAAAGGGACTGCTAAAGTAAAAGATTGATTGATTGTTGGTTGCTTAATCATGTTAATGCTCAGTGCTAAAGTAAAAGACAAACTATCCACCAAAGACCAAATGACTTGGATGTAAGCATTTTTTTTTTTATATTGTATAGAAGGATTAATCTATTTTTCTACCTACAGTCTGCAATACACCTAATCGCTATTTATTCCATTCCGGATAAGTTCTAAGATTACACAACTTTTTCATCCAGTTGAAACTATCTGGGACCCTGTTTAAACAATGCACCATGCATGATACTTTTTAATGAGACCTGTTAAAAACATCATAAATACATGAAATACTTCAAACAAAATATTTTTTTGACTTTAATTTGAGTTTCAAAAAAGTGGATCATAATCTATCAAAGTTTCCTATTGATCGCTTTCTAAATTTTTCCCTCCCTCAGCTCGTTACTGATGACCTTTGTTTTTTTCCCTGTTGACCCAAACAGGAAGTTGTCTAAATGACTGTTTTTTCCGGATTGGACTAAATAGTGATAAGGTGTATTCATGGTATTGGAGTCCATTTCAGGTCTTCTGACCACAAAATTTTAAATACATTGTTTTAGATGGGGTCTAATAAATCAAAAGGTAGAACTTCATAATTGTTGCAAATTTTGTTGGTGTGTTCAGTCTATTTAGGATACTTGCTGATGAGTTGCCCTGGGTACAAAATTGTACATTGACGGTCATTGTATTCATTACATGTATCTGCATGGGACCTGTTCCATAATGTGATTATTAGATAGTGATTATCAGATTATCAACAGATTAGAAATGTATATGTCAATGCATCACTTAATAGTTCTGAGTTGTTTGTATGCTCTGACATTTTGTGGCATTGAAGTGCATTTCCCATGTTTAGCCTGGGAATAGTACACTGTCAATACATTGTATGTTATCAAGTTTAGCCCACTATTTAGAGGTTACAGGTCCTTTTACAGTTGTAGTTGGTTATCAAGTTATCAAGCAATCTGGTGGAGTGGTATAGAAGGCAGTCATCAACAAATAGGCGGGCTTATAATTTCATGTAGGTAGGCAGGACATTTATAAGGCACAGGAATAATAGGACCAAGAACAGCAGAACGGGGTACTCTTCGATCGGTACCTCGAATCACCGAATAACACCGTTATTAGCCAAATAACACTTGTAAACACCGAATAACACTTGAAATTTTAATATTAGCACATATTGGTGACATTTAAACATTGATAATTAAATAATATTGTATTATAAGTGTATTTTATAACTTAAAAATGATTCATAGAAAGCAGGTAAGTTCATAAAGATCGCATTAAATATTAGTGTGTACATCCAACATGGCGACCAAGAAAAACACAATGGTAAGAATAAAAGAATGATTGCATATGCATACAAAGGGAAAAGCTATGAAAATAAAATATTAAATAATGTACTGTATATACAGGGTATTGTCCAATAATTGTTTTTCAGTAAGGTTTCGAAAAGCTAACAAAAGCCATGCAATTACTCCAATCACCAATTAGTTTTCTTAACGATTTACTCAATATTAATGAAACGTAATTAAGAATTTTCACATATTTAATTTAAATTTAATCAAAAAATTAATTATACTTGATTGTTTTATAATAAAAACAAAGCAGCTGAATGGATGATTCGTATGTGTGTATTTTCTCAAAAAGAAATTAAAGATTTTCATTGGCAAATATTAATGTTTTTACAAGTAACTAAAATTTGGTATAAAAACATGTGAAGACATATGTGCTGTTTTCCATTTTTAAAATGGCTTTATATCCTTGTGTTCAATGTGATGAAGAATGTGTTGATTGCACAATTCAGTGCTGTAGTTGTGATCGTTGGGTTCACAGTGCTTGTGTCCCAATGAATGATTCAATGTTATCGGCCTGGTCAGATGTGTCTCTAAAGTTCCTATGTAAGTACTGCTGCTTTACAGACAACAAGTACGACATGGCCAAGTCCCTAGAAAGGTAAGTAATTTTATAAAGTATATTTTCAACATAATATTTATTAGAATGTATATGAAATATATAAAGAACAAATGTGGAATTGTACATGTTTAATTTTAATGAAGACATTAATTTTACTAATTCGATTATATTTAACTTGTTTCTTATTTCATTTTCTTTGGCAATATACATTTGCAATTCAATTTACTAAAAATTCAGAAATAAAAGTAAAGGAAAAAAAAATAATATTCATAGTATAGAAGTTTAATTTTTTTTTATTGCTATGTTCATCCATTTTAATACATTAAATTAAGTTTAATAATGAAATATTTTTTGCCAATTAGATAATTTAATTGTGATAATGCCAAGTTCCCAATTATCAAAATATTTATTTATTACCTTACAATTCTATCATATTGTTAATTAGATTGTTGTTTACTGACACGTGCCCATTACATAACTAATCATTAAATGATAATGAAATTATATTACGGTATGGACACTCTGCATTAAACAGGCTTGTGACTGTCTTGGTGTACCAAGGCTGCATTACCAAAACCAATAATAATAATTAAGAAAAAAGAACACAAATAAATATTTACAACTATATACAATATATGTACTTCCTAACTATATCTTTTGTAAAAGTGTAATAAGCTTTATTGTTTCACAAAGAATTTTTGATTATTTAAAATAATAAAAAATTTCTTCAGAAAATAAAAATAAAAAAAAAATTATTTAAACTTATTTGATATGAGTTTTTTTCTGTTTAATAAAATACTTTTTTTTTTGCAAAATTCAAAAGACATTCGATGTTAAAAACAGCCCGTGCCTTGTGCAGGATATCTTAGTAGTTTTAATTTTTTACAATAATTTCTAAATAAATTGTTTTCGCGGACTATAACAGATAAGCCCGTGCCTTGTGCAGGATATCTTAGTAGTTTTAAAAGGGCTTGGTTACTCTCCATTTTTAAATTAAAAAATATAATATTATTTTTTTAATGACTATAAAAACAAAAATTATTATTGTAAACAGTTAAATATTCCATATTTTTTTTCAAAGGGGATGCGCCCACCCTCACATTGTTCATTGCCTTGACGTGGCGTGAGGGCTCCACTTTGGTGGTCTAAAATGAACACGTTGAGGGATTGTATGCAATCATTCTTTTATTCTTCCAATTGTGTTTTCCTTGGTCGCCATGTTGGATGTACACACTAATATTTAATGCGATCTTTATGAACTTACCTGCTTTCTATAAATCATTTTTAAGTTATAAAATACACTTATAATACAATATTATTTAATTATCAATGTTTAAATGTCACCAATATGTGCTAATATTAAAATTTCAAGTGTTATTCGGTGTTTACAAGTGTTATTTGGCTAATAACGGTGTTATTCGGTGATTCGTGTTACCCCTCTTCGATCGACTGTGCAAAGTGGAGAAAATTTCACATCAGTACATTGTCATACCTTATCAATAGTCATCAGAGATTTATGTTCAAATAAACAAAGCCTTTTTAACAAAAGTCTGCCTTAATAGTACTTTTAAAAACAATCTTCAACAGATGAATATTTTTGCAGCAAACTCGTAAGGTAAGAAACAAGTTGGGAAGGGGGAATGAAACCATGATTATAAGCTATTTTTCTAATGTCAAAATATGTAAATCCTCTTTAATTGGGAACACCGCTATTATAATTAATAATAATATAATAAATTCTTTGTTTAAAGAGGGTAAACACAGTTAGTTACAATTACTAATCTTCCCTGAGGCCCTCATATACAATACAAGTAAAAAAATAATAATAAGAGAGAAAAAAAAAGCAAACATACAACATATTAACACAATCGTATAGTCATGATAGTTCAATGTACATGTACCATTAGAACATATAAAACAGTTACAAATTGCATGTAGTAATAGATATTATATACAAATCAAAATCATACATTCTAAAAAAGTAATAGTTGCAATCATTTCAAGACTGAATACTGGGACTGCCTCAAGTATCGTTTTATAATTTGTTTAAAAGAAATTTTTTAAAGTGTTTTGCACTTTACGCATTTCATATGGTAGTCCGTTCCATAAAACTTATCCAGAATAAGCAAAAGATTTTTTAAACAGTTCAGTTTTTGGTTTAGAAATTATCAAATTACCTTGAGTTACACCCCTTAAAGCATAAGGATTATTAACAGATATAAGTTGAAACTTTTGAAGTATGTACTGTGGTGCTTCTTTCCGCACACATTTATATAGCAGTAAATATTTGTGGTATTTGATTCTGCTTTCTACTGTCATCCATCCAAGTTCTTTAAATAAGGGGGCTGATGGGGATAAAGGGTCTGCATCAAGAATTAATCTTGCTACTTTTTTTTGAAGTTTTAATATTCTTATTATCCCTTCATTTTTACATTCTCCCCAAACAATACAGCAGTAATCGATGAATGGCAGAATATACCCATTATAATATGCTTTCCTGGCATTAATATCTAAAAATTTCGTTAATTTAGAAAGAAGGTATATTCTTGATGAAATACTAGCACAAATTTGATCAATTTGATTTGTCCAGCTAAGTGTGCTGTCAATTTTAACACCTAATAATGTTTCGCATGATGAATTTTGTAGTGTTTCTGAATTTATTTGTAAATTTGGTTGAAAATATTGAGTTGATAACTTCTGACTTGTTCCAGTAACCAAACATTTTGTTTTTTTAGTATTGATGAACATATTATTCATTTTGCACCATTCTTCAACTCTGCATAAATCTTGCATAATTGAACAGAAAGATTCTATTTCTACATCTACAAAATATATTTTTTAACTTCAATTTGTTGAAGATTACAAGAAGGCACATGCTAGGGAATATCTTAAAATTATCTGAACATATTTCTGAAAATAAATTTCAAACATTTTTTTTCAGTAATTAATTTTATGTATACTTAAAAATAAAACTGATTTATTTGTTTTAGCAATATATGTGATATATTGTGCACAAGACTTAAATGCATCTAAGTCTGGTAACCGTGGCTACCTAGTTTGGTAAGGAATTCCACAATTATTGTTCTTGGATAAAAAGAAAAAAGGAAATTTGTGTGAGAGAATGGCTATACAAATTTATTTTCCCATGATGGTACTAATTATAAGTATTGCTTGTTTGAGATGGAAACTAGTTGATGTTGAATTTTGTAGAGCATGGTGACAGATACAAGATTTCTTCTTTGTTGTAGTGTTGATCAGCTTAGATGTTCGAGGATGGCATGTACAATACTTTGGTAGCTGTATTGATTTAGTGTACACCTGGCAGCTCTTCTCTGTATCATTTCGATTTTATCTATATGTTGTTTCTGCCAGGGATCCCAGGCACCACTGCAATGCTTTACTTTTTGTCTGACATATGTTTTGTAAGCTACTTCTCAGTTTTTATGCTGTTGGGTTTTACATTTCTTTCGATTAATCTTAGTGATGAATTTGCTTTATTTGTGATGTTATTTATGTGCGAGTTCCATGTTAGATCATTAGGATTTAGGAAGCAGCAAAGTAATGCCACCATGCAGACTTCGGTGAGGTTTTATAAAGGAACAAATCAACACACAAAACAAAAGCAAAAACAAAAACATGCATATCAATTAGGTCAATAGAACAAAGGACAAGTTTCTTTAAATATTTCAAAGGCTATATGCGGGTCTCATGATTTTCAATCATCTGTGACAGGACCCAACAAGTTAAATTTTCAAGCAATATTGACTCTTTTGCAAAACATTCCTGTGAGAAGAAAGAAATCTTATTTGGTGTATTGTCCTATAGGAATAATAATCCGATATGGTAAAATATATCCTAATATCCCACAATGATTTATCAAACAAAAAGATTGTTAACTTTTCAAAAAGGTTTCAAATCTAACTAAAATCAACAGTATGACAGCTTTATGCTTGGAGACATTTTGTATATATTATGTCTCTGGTGTGTGTTCTTCAAAGTTAAGGCCCTAACAACATTATGACGAATTTCTTAACATGTAGTCAAGATATTGTAAAAATATAATTAATAAGGATATTCTCTTTACCAAAACAAAAACAAAAAACACGGTATGAAATTCAATTTGAGGCTTGGATTGTAAAATTTTACAAAAAAAATAAACATTTTTCTATTATATATCAAGCCTGTTTTCAACAACAATGTTCAGCGCGGGTGTCTTTTTCTGAGCATCATTCTGTTCTGGGCATGTTGAAAAAATACTCTTTTGAAAAAATACTCTTTTAATTCAAAACTATGTTACCAAATAGTATTATATATACAACAGAAACATCTAAAACTTGAATATTAAAGATTAAACTATCAAAAACTTAAGAGTCGTTAATTTAAAGGGAAACTCCGCAAAAAAATGAAAAATTGATATTTTGTTCTTTAAGCATAAAAAACCACATGTTCATTAATAAAAAACTTTTATTCTCTATGTAAAGAGATCAAAATCGATTTTTAAAATTCTCTATCAGTTCTCGACATATCGCCATCTTGTCGGCATGTTCGATCTAAAACGTCACGTGATATCTATAAACCACAAAGAACAAAAAGAATCGGGGATTTACCGACCCTGCGTTAAAAACTCCCATCATCAATTGGGGATTACCGTAGACGGTTATTCAGTGAATGAATGTCTTGTCAAGAGTACGGTTGTTCACTCAGACAAGGTTATGACAAAAGTCTACATATTTTTCCCAATCCCACAAAAAAAGAAAGAATTGTATCAGACATGGTTGTACAACCTTAAACTAACAGCAAATAGTTGCATCTATAGCAAGCACAAGTTGGTGTGTGAAGACCATTTTGAACAATATTGTTTCGAGGGAGATTCGATGGTAATTATCCTTTTTTAATAACAAAATAACCTAGCAGTTCTGATAGCTATAGTTATCAAATCCTTATATGATAAGATCTCGTTGAATAAAAAAAAAAAGATTTGATGAGGGAGAACAGTTTCAATTAAAAATAAGACAAATGCAGTGTTCTTGTAACAATCACTGATTTACAGAAGATTCATTAGTATGCCTCTTTTATATAAAGTGCATTGATTTGTATAAAGAATAGTTCCGTATTTAGACAAGATAATTTTTCAATTAATAAAGTTATACGATATAAAATAACATTTTTTTAATTATGAAATTTAACGGCTATTGACAAGGAGCAATGTTAGGAAGAGGTTTTAGCTGGGACATAATATGTTGATATAGTATTATATTCCCAGGTTATAGATATGTAAATATCGAAATATCGGACATCTCAATTTTTTTATTAAAAGTGGGTTTTTTTAACTAATCTTTGAATTATATCAAATTGATACGGGATCAATTCGGAACGGTCACTTATAAAGACACTTAGCTTTATAGTTAACTGTGTGACTCTATCTGGTATGTTCGGTGAAAAATTTATAGGGTTTTTTTCTTTTTACATTTTATTTACGTTATCTTATTATATATATATTTTGGCTTCCTCCCGAATTGATAATAGGTATGTCAGAATTATTGATAGATGTCGTGTCAGAGCGACACATTCAGTTAGGTATTCCAAGGACGTATATTAGATACACGTCCCTGGGTATTCCAGTGACATCCTGTCAACTAAAAATTCCTTTTACACAATTATATAATACATGTTCATGCATGGCCTCTTTATTGAGGTACCCGGTGTGCACAGGTAACATTTATTGAACCATATATTTGTGTCTAACGTTGTTTATCTTGTGTGTGTTTGAAATTATAATTCCACCTTTTAATGAATGATGTTCTGATAATAATATTATCCACTATTTTTGCTGATAAGTTTTAAAAAAAATTATAAACATGACCTTTGAACATTTTTGTGAAATGAATATTGTTTTGTCATGATTCTGGACCATATTTTTGAAGAAAAAAAATTCTTCACGCAACTACAAGCTTTTGTCGATTGGCAAACATGCAGATATATAAAGTAATGCAGCACTTATAGTCACTATCAATATTAATTCATTGAAGATAAGAGAGCCCCTTCTATGTCTAATGTCCCTATCTTTATAAGGATTAGGACGACAGGGGAAAAGGAGCGGAGATAGAGTGGCATAGTGAAAAAAAAATAACCGAATAGAGAACAATATAGAGAATGATCGACGAAAAGCGAAATAGTTATTGTAAAGGAGCGGAGATAAAGAGAGGCATAGTGAAAAAAAATGTTTGCCTGACAAAGTTATTGCTCGCTTTGATATTTTTAGTTATACAAAATCACACATCGTGTTCCTAATTGGTATTCACGTGCACTAACTTGATGCTGGGAACAGTATATTAATATATATGTTCCTGCTTGATGTGTTAAGTTTCTGCATAGCATGGTTAAAAATAATTAGTATCCCATTTGTTATATCGTAGTGTCACGGTGTTACTTTGTTAAATTTATTTAGTTTGTTAATGATTGTGTAAATAAGAATAAATCTGTATAAAAACGTCATACCATTTTAGTGATTGCCTATAGGCGTTTGATTATTGTTACATTTAAGATATATATATATATATATTTAGAACCTTTCATAGATCTTAAAGTAAAAGACGTGTGTCTGAGTTAAACGACACAATA